GCTCAGAGGAAGAAACCAAAGAGAAAGGCGATTTCTAGGGTTAAAAAAAAAAAAAAGCTAGCAGAGGCTTTGATCCTGAACAACCTGAAGTTTGAGTTAGGGCCGAAAGAGGAGGCTGTATAGGTGACTAAGGAAGCAAGCCTTGTTTGCAGTTTTATAGCCACATAAGTGGGTTAGACAGAAGGCAGGAATGGTGATATGTGATAAAGACACTTAAATGGAATTTAACGGTTTATTCTCTTCCAAATTACTGAACATTAGGTTTAAATGTTTCCATATAAATATTAAATTATATGTATATAGCAGGATTGCAATTTGCACATTACCACTCTGTTTTTTAAGAAAAATATAGCTTCTTTATTTCTTATAACTATTCTTCCTCCAAGTTCACACCCCATTGAGGAGTGTGGGGCAAAAACAAACTTGCCAATTGATAATATCTCAGTCTCTTCCCTTTTAAAGAGTGTCTTTGGGTAAGTCATTTTTTAAAAGAGAGAAAGATCTGTTTATTTCTTCTCCCCAAAATGAGAAAGAAGGTCTGCAGCTGACACAGCCAGCCCCTCTCCTTGCAGGTGGCTGGTCTGATCCAGCCCTGACTTGGCATCTGCTGGGGCACAACGGGTCCCTTGTGACCTCTGATGCATAATCATTGCCTCCAAGAGTCCCATGTGCACCAGCTTGCAGGGACCCAGAGGCTCTGCCTCAGACCATGGTCATCCCCAAGGCCAGGATACTACAGCTCCCAAGCCAAAGCCAGCTTCTCCTTGGCCTACAGAGGCCTGCAGCCTCCCAGGAGCTCTAGGTGAGGAAACAGCCCACAAGCCCCAGTGTTCTCAGGCTCCCTGTTCCTGTTCAGCGTATTTCTAGCACAATATCCCCAAGCTTTTATCTATATAGGAGGGAAAAAATATCTTGTTCTTACAGTTGCATTTGCTTTGTTTCACCACAACTGGTTTTAACCGCTAGAGCTCTAAAACAATCATGACCTTTAGCAACCTCACCACCATCACCACCACTAAAAAAAGCTGATCAACTACTAAGACCTCTGAGTGACCCCAGTTCATCAGACCCTTACTGCACTCAACTGAGGGTTCCTTCCTGACCATGAACAGCAGGACTGGTTTTAACCAACCGCACACCAATGAATGGATGCATTATGACTGCTGGAGTACAAGCTTCCAAACATGATTTAGCGTAAGTGCCTTGGCCTCCTCCCTTTCTACTGCATAAACCCCTCTGATCTTCCCCTCAGAAAATGTGTCCACGGCTGCACGCACTACCTCCTTTGCCTGGGAAGTAACTAAGCTCAAGGCCTACTTTGTTGACACTAGTCACTGGTTTTCCATGAATAATCCCAACAGGAGGCGGAAGGGAAAAAACACAGGCATCTTTGCCTTCCTCTCAGGTCCTCACTGTCTTCCTCTAAAGTGCTTCTTTCTATGAGGTAGGACTTCCCCTTCGTCACTGTTCCTGGGGACACTAGGCCACATGGCCTAACATTAGTGGCAGCCGGGATGCACAGAGACAAACCAACTTAGTCATAAGAACACCTATTGAAAAGTAACTTTAATTTATTCTTTCCATTACATACCCGCATCAAGAAGGAAAAATCTCATACAGATGGCCTACAGGCACATGAAAAGATTCTCAACATCACTAATTATTAAAGAAATGCAAATCAAAACTACAATGAGGTATCACCCTCATACAGGTCAGCACGGCCACCATTAAAAATCCTACAAACAACCAAACTAGAGAGGGTATGGAGAAAAGGGAACCCTCCTACACTGTTGGTGGGAATCTAAGTTGATGCAACCACTATGGAAAACAGTATAGAGGTTCCCCCAAAAATTAAAAATAGAGTTGCCATATGATCCTGCAATCCTGAGCATATATCCAAAGAAAACTATAATTCAAAAAGATTCATGCACCCCAGTGTTCACTATTTACAATAGCCAAGACATAGAAACAACCTAAATGAATGAATAAGGAAGATGTGGTACATATATACAATTTGGATATTATTCAGCCATAAAAAAGAACAAAATAATGGAACTTAGAACAACATGGATGGACCTAGAGATTATCATACTAAGTGAAGTAAATCAGAAAAAGACAAATACCATATCACTTATATGTGGAATTTTAAATATAACACAAATGAACTTACCTATGAAACAGACACAGACTCACAAACATAGAGGACAGACTTGTGATTGCCAAGGGGGAAGTGGGTAGGGGAGAAATGGATTAGAAGTTTGGGATTAGCAGCTGCAAGCTATTATCCAGAGAATAGACAAACAACAAGGTCCTTCTGTACAGCACAGGGAAGTATATTCAATATCCTGTGATAAACTATACAGAAAAGAATATGAAAAAGAATGTGTGTGTGTAAACACGCACATATATATACAACTGAATCACTTTGCTATACAGTAGAAATTAACACAATATTGTAAATCAACTACACTTCAATAAAATTTTTAAGTGAATAAAAATCCAGTTTAATCTGGTAGGCAACAAGCTTAAGGCAATTTTACTTATTAGATTGTATACTAATAATTTTCTAGAAACACACACATATAATGTGTAGCATGTACTAGGTACTTCTTTAAGAAATTGACTCAATTCTTGCACTGCCATGTGATGCCTCATGTGCTTAGTCATGTCCGACTCTTTGTGACCCCATGGACTGCAGCCTGCCAGGCTCCTCTCCTGGAGCCTGGAGTCCATGGAGATTCTCCAAGCAAGAATACTGGAGTGGGTTGCCATGCCCTCCTCCAGGGTCCTATGTGGTAGTACTATTATAATTACTATTGTAATTATAATCATTGCAATAGTAATTATTATTCTCATTTTATAGAAGAGGGAATTGAAGACAAGAACAATTAGATAACCCTGTCCAAGATTACAAGGTGAACTGTGGATGAGCCAGGATTCAAGTCTAAACAATTTGGTGCCTCTGAAACTCACAAACTACTGACACTGTTCCGCCACTGGGTGTCAGCATACCAAACTGAAGGGGCTGCAGTCTTTTCAGGAAGAAAAGGAACAGAACTCACTGAGGGTTATCATTACCATCTTTCTAAATTCCATATATATGTGTTAGTATACTGTAATGGTCTTTATCTTTCTGGCTTACTTCACTCTGTATAATGGGCTCCAGTTTCATCCATCTCATTAGAACTGATTCAAATGAATTCATTTTAATGTCTGAGTAATATTCCATGGTGTATATGTACCACAGCTTCCTTATATGCAAAACAGAAAAAGAGACACAGATGTACAGAACAGGTTTTGGACTCTGTGGGAGAAGGCGAGGGTAGGATATTTCGAGAGAACAGCATTGAAACATGTATATTATCTAGGGTGAAACAGATCACCAGCCTAGGTTGGGTGCATGAGACAAGTTCTCGGGGCTGGTGCACTGGGAAGACCCAGAGGGATCGGGTAGAGAGGGAGGTGGGAGGGGGGATCGGGATGGGGAATACATGTAAATCCATGGCTGATTCATGTCAATGTATGACAAAACCCACTACAATATTGTAAAGTAATTAGCCTCCAACTAATAAAAATAAATTTTAAAAAAAGAACTCACTAAGGGCCTTCTAAATGCAAAACACTTACAAGTACATTTCCTAATTTAATCTGAGAGATGAATAAACTTCTTAGAGGACAGAATGTGCAACATTTAGTTAACGGAGTAACTAATTTTCATGAGAGGAGGGTTTGTTCTTTTTTTTTTTAATTGTAAAAATAATGGTAGACAATTTAAGAGGATCAGTCCCTAGATTCTTCATTAATTAAGGGCTTTTTCCAGCTGTCTGCACCTTATCACCCAATGAAACCATTATTAGAAAGACCTCAGGGAAGAGACCACGCAGTGTGCACTCTCCCTCTGCAAAAATCAGCCAGAGACAAGCATCTGCTATAAAATTATCTGGTTTAATCGCTATCAACATCAGAACCATAGTACATTAAAGTACACAACCTGTATGTACAATTACACATACAAAGAAATGTTTTTTGTGAGGAGCAATTTTCAACAAATTTGACAAACAGCAAGAGTCATTCCTATTGGGGGTATAAAAGGAGAAATGGAAATTTCCAAGATGGCCCCCTGCTCCCTCCGTCTCCTCTGACCCTCTGAACATCAATTTGCAGAGGCCTGAGGGAGGAAGGGAAGTATTAACAATCTCAGACACTCAATCCTCCTCTTATGGAAGGGGTGAATTTTTAGGGAACATTTTCCATCCTTTATTACACTGATGTTCCATCCATTTGCATCATTAGGTTCAGTAGTTACCATGACAATATGATGCCTACAGCAATCTAACTTGATAGCCAGATGCCAGAATGTGAAAAAATAGGACCAGCTAAGAAAGTGAGAGAAATATAATTAATCTGAACCACATAAAAAAAAAAATGTGCACAAACCAAAACCAAGAAGGAAACTGCCGAAATGTCACCCAAGAGAGAATGATGACAGGAAACAATGATCAAGTTTCCAAGATTCAAAAATCCTTTGCTAACTTGAGCCATGAATTGGTCTGTAACTAAGGCTGTGGAAGGAGTCAAAGTTAATCTAGAATATTGCTCTGAGTGCCTCTCCCCAAGTAATTGCTGCTGCGGAGTCCAGTGGTGTCATCTTCGATTCCTGCAGAGGAATTCTTAAGCCCTGATCTTCCCAAGGATCTATACCCAGGTGCTCAGTGCTGCCACCATGGCATTCCACTCCCCTCCAGTCTGATGTTATACCCAGCTTTTCCACCTGAAGAAGTCATTTCCACCATCACTGTAAAGCTAATCTTAAGAGATTGAACTGAGCTGTGTCCTGGGAGACCTTGTCCCCTTGCCTTCTCCATACCCAGTGAAAGCAACTGGCTAGCACAACCCTCTTGGGGGCCCAAACATGGCAGAGGGGCTAGGAAATGAAGAAACAAGAACAACATAACAGCTGTGCTTCCGGGAGACCAGCCTGGGATGGGTGGTCCTTCTCATCATGACTGGGTTGGATAACGGCGCTGAGCTAGGCGATTTGGCCGGTTCAGGCTGGTAACCGTGGAGAGCTGGGAAAAGACAAGCACAGCGCTAGGTTATAACCCCAAGCATGACTCTGCCACTCCAGCATGACTGGCTGGATTGAGCTTGAAGTGAAGTGAAGTGAAGTCGCTCAGTCGTGTCCGACTCTGCGATCCCATGTACTATAGCCTACCAGGCTCCTCTGTCCATGGGATTCTCCAGGCAAGAATACTGGAGTGGGTTGTCATTTCCTTCTCCAGGGGATCTTCCCGACCCAGGGATCGAACCCAGGTCTCCTGCATTGCAGGCAGACGCTTTACCGCCTGAGCCACCAATCTAGAACCCTTCAGGAACATTTGGCTTCCCATGTGGGAGTCTCATCATTCACTTTCACACACCTTTACCTCTTAAATAAGGAGAAAAAAATTTGGTTTTATAAAGAAGAGAAGCCAATGACACATCCAAGCAAGCAGTCTGCCTCAGATCATGCAGAAGCAGGGAGTTTAGTTTCAACCAAAGTTTGCAATGATCCCCTCACCCTCAGGACTCTGTGCTGGTGCAACCATACAATTAACACCGACACAAATTGTCTCTCCTGAGTCTTAAGACTTATGAAAGGTCAAGAGCAACATTAATAATAGTGACACTGTCTGAGCATTTTCAGAGTGCCAGGACCTTCGCATACATGCTCTGATTTAATCCTCACAACTATCCAGTGAGGTAGTTACTACTAACCCCATTTTACAGATACAGAAACCGAGACTTACAGAGGTTAGTCACTGCTAAAGAACTCAGGCAGAGTAAGTTGTTATCAGTAAGTTATAAACCAGGATCTCCTTCACTCAGAACCCATGCTCCGAACCCAACCCCTCTCCCTCAGGACCTCCTTACCTGGGGAACCTGAGAGGGGTTGTAGAGAGGAACACTCCCCGTCACGGGGGGTGGGGGAAGCAGAACACCAGCATTGAAGTTGAGCTCAGTGGAAACACCCTGTGAGGGAAAATAATAGAAAATCCCCTTAGTCACCACTTCCTGGATTCTAGAATGTCAGGGGCTTCCTGAGAATCAACTTTGGTCAAGAGATGCAGTCCCTGGTGATGCAGGGGATGGGAACCCACCTGCCAAGGCAGGGGACACAGGTTCCATCCCTGCTCCAGGAAGATTTCACATGCAACTAAGGCTGTGCACCACATCTACTGAGCCCACAAGCCTAGAGCCTGAGCTCTGCAAGGAGAGATGCCGCTGAGATGAGGAGCCCGTGCACTGCCGCCCGAGAGCAGCCCCCACTCACTGCAACCAGAGAAAAGCCCACATGGTAGCAAAGACCCGGCATAGTCAAAATAAACAAATAATAAATAAATTTTAAAAATCTGTAAAAGAAAGAGGCAAATGCGATAGAGCTCAGGGAATCCTGAGCAAACAAACAGTTCCAGTGGGCACAGCCACCCCCAGGGCCTGGGGGAGCTTTGCAGAGGCTCAGGTGCTGCCGTAAGAGAAGAAAAGGCCACAAAAATGGTACTAATAGCATCATAAAAAGTAACCTCATATTCCTTGAAAAGCCTAAAATATTACAAGAGTGCCGTAACCAGACCCCAAGAAATAAAATTGTTTTCCTAGCAATTGGCATGAAATCCACACTGGACAATTCGTCAAGCCTTCATCACAATCCTTGCAAGGGATACTGGTGAACTCTAGGTCCTACTGGGGACAGGGAAAGAGGACATTCCCTTTTTTCTTTTTTCTTTTTTTTTGGCTGCGCCTTGTGACATGTGGGATCTTGGTTCCTCAACCAGGGATTGAACCTGTGCCCCCTGCACTGGAAGCACAGTCTTAACCACTGGACTCCCAGGGAAGTCCCGAGGCCACTCTCTAGACATCACGTGAGGAAGCAGTGATGGGCTAACTCATGTTCCTGCCCCCAACTTTCTGTCCTGAAGTCCTAACCCAGAGACCTCAGAATGTATTCAGAGACAGGGTCTTTAAAGAGGTGATTAACTACTGCACAGCTCAGGGAACTGTATTTGGTGCTCCATGGTGACCTAAATGAGAAGGTAATCCAAAAAAGAGCTGATATACGTATACTTAGGGCTGATTCACATTGCTGTGCAACAGAAACCAACACAACATTGTAAAGCGATCCAGGCAAGAATAATGGAATGGGTGGCCATTCCCTTCTCCAGGGGCTCTTCCTGACCCAGGGACCAAACCTTCATCTTCTGCATTGCAGGCAGATTCTTCACCATCTGAGCCACCAGGGAAGCCCCATACTCAATAGAAATTAATTTTTTTTTTTTAAAAAGAAGAGTGGGCCCTAACCCATTATGACCGGTGTTCTTGTAAGAAGGGGAAATTCTGACATAGACACACACACCAGGGAAAGACCACATAAAGACGCAGGAAGAACATGGCCATCTACAAGCCAACACTCTCCAGCCTCCAGAACTGTGAGTAGATACTTGTCTGGTGTTTAAAGGGCACAGTCTATGACACCTTGTTCTGGCATCCCTAGCAAACTACTACAGCAACTTTCTCCATACTCCCCACGAGTCAGGCCCTCACGGGGCAGCACCTCCAGCCCCCGTGAAAGTTCAGTGCACACACAGGTGGGCTGCTCACCTCAGGTCCCAACAAGCCTCCACTCCCGGGGCCCTCAGCTGTCCCCGGACCAGATGCTGACCCTCGGGCTTCATCTGCACCTAGGAAGCAATGAGTCGGGGGTGTTCCAGCTACTCAGGACAGAGGAGTCCCCGCTGCCAGAAGGTTCCCCCACCCACCCCTGGGGAGCGCAGAGAGGACCAGAGAGGGCCCCGAGGACATGAGGTTGGCATACCTGTGTCCCTGGAGAAGGCACTGGCAGCCAGCAGAGGCTGGGGGTCTGGGGAGGGTGTCAGTGAGAGGCCTGGGCTGGGCTGAGGTGGAGACGCTGCCCTGGGCATCTCCTGCTTAGTGGAGAAAGAAGGGTGGAAGATGGTCAACACACCCGTGCCACCTGCTTGTACTCCTGCAGCACCCACATGGCGGCCTCCACCCTCAACCAGGGCTGGCCTCCTCTCCACCTTACTCCATTCTCTTCATACCACTCCTCTGCTCAATAATCCAAATCACTGCCGGCTCTCGAAAGTTAAAATTCTACATCCTAACTTTTAAGGCCTTTCGTCATCTGCCTCTCCCCTCACTGAACCAATCTGTCTCCCACAACCTCCCATCACAAAACCAGTGTCATCCAGACCAGGGTGGAGATGCCAGCTCCGAGCCCTCCTGGAATTGAGGAAACTTCCTCAGAAGGCGCCACAGAAGAGGGAGTTTCTCTGCCCAGACCCCCGCAACCTTCTGCCCAAGGTTACCTCAGAGTCCGGGCTGTCAGACGAGTCTTCGTCTCCAGAGGGGGATGCGTTGTGGGTGGGCTTTGAGCGGAACCAGCTGAACCAGCCAAACCCTGAGCTCTGGAAGAGATGGGGGGAGTTCTGTGGTCTGTAGGGTGGAGATTAACCCCCCCTCACTGTGGCGGTGGTGAGACAGGAGAGGAGGGGACCCCACAAGAGCCCAGACCCCCAGCTCTGCACCACCATCTGGGAAGAAAAAGATCCCTCCACCTTTGTGTTCTCCTTGACGTTTCCAGGCTTTTCTCTCTGGGTGGTACTTTGTGAAGACTTTTTATCTGCCTCATCAGAGGACTCCTCCTTGTCCTCCTTGGCTGATACAGGGGAACTCTCGGAAACACTTCGAGCTCTGGGAATCAGTGGCACCTGGAATTAGAGAAAAGAGAAGTAACATCTTTATAGCACTTGACAGGTTACAAAGGCACATTTACATGTACTCCCTCACCTGACCTGCTCGATAAATCAGCGGCGATAGCTTTACAGGATCTAATATCACTGATGGGGAACCATGATTCAGCCACGAGGAATAACTTGCTGAAGGTCTCAGGACAAGGCCAGAGCCCAGTCTCAATCTTCAGATTATCCTTAATCCTACAGGGTTTTGGCCATTGTGCTACTAGTCCCCAGGAGCACCAGGTTTCCTGAACTATTCCAAGGCCTGGAGCAGTGGTATGGAATGCTTCCACTGGAGATGAAGAAAGCCAGGAAACATCCTTCAGGGAACCCCTAAACGCAAAGATCAGGGAAAGTGACAACCACTGAATCTAACTCATCCCAAACCTCATTTCCTAGCTGACTTGCTCAAGATGAACCGTGAGCAACTGTACCGGGGGGGAGTAAAATACACCCCCCTTAGTATTAATTTTGTGTGTGTGGTAGAATGTATCTAGTTGCCCAAAATGTTTGCTCAGGTTTGTCTGTAACATCTTATGGAAAAATCCAAATGAATTTTTTGGCCAACACAATACATTGCATAAAGTTTACCCATTTAACCACTTAAAGCATATAGTTCAGTGTATTAGAATATTCATGATGTTGCATAACCATCACCGTTTTCCATTTTCAGAAATTTTCATTAACCTCAACAGAAACTCTGTTCCCATTAAAACTAACTCCCCATTTTTCCTTCCCTCTGGCCCCTGAGAACCTCTACGCTTTCTGTCTCTATGAGTTTGCCTATTCTAGATGCCTTGTATAAGTGGAATCATACAGTATTTGTCCTTTTGTGTTGTATTTAAAAAGATAATTGGTATAACCTTTAGAAAAAACACTTTGGCAAATATAGAAAAAGTTTCATTTTTTATTCTAATGAGTATAGAACTTACTATGTACCAAGTAGTATTCTGAGCATTTTATATACGGCGAGTCATTTAATGCTTACAACTATCCCGTTAGGTAGGTACTGTTATTGTCGTCCCATTTAACATATGAGAAAACTAAGATACAGAAAAGTTAAGCAGCCTGTGTGAGGTCACACAGCTAGTTAAGGGCAGAGCAAGGATTCAAACCCAAGCAGTCTGACTTTCCTTCTAGGAATTTCTCCTAATTGAGTGATTCAAGAAATACACAAGGGCTTATATATTAGAATGTCCATCACTGTGATTTACATATGAGGAGAAGGGAAGGGAGGAGTAAGGAGAAAGAGTAGAAAAGAAAAGGAAAAGAGAGACACTTGGTGTATTTAACAAAGCAGTAAAGATGAATTAAAATCCAAGCTCCTTCCAGGGCCTACCAGGCCCTCTATGATCCTGCCTTTCTCTTTCTCTCTGGTCTTGCTTCTTAGTCCTCTCTTCACCTTTTTTTTTTTTTACCACACTGAACAGCTTGCAGGATCTTAGTTCCCCAACCAGGGACTGACCCCAAGCCCTCAGTAATGAAAGCGCAAAGTCCTAACCACTGGCCCAGCACGGAGTTCCCTTGTCCCTCTCTCTAGGTACAGCCCATACTCTCCCTCAGTTGTACCAGGTCTTCTTATTACAGGGTCTTTGCTCTTGCTCTGCCCTCTGCCTGAACACTTGTTCCCTGAATACTCACCTGGCTCATGGCCACCCTCCATGCTGAGCTCAGAGACGCACTCCCTCCAACACCATCTAAAGGAACATCCCTCAAGCATACAGTGGTTTACTTGTAGTCACCTCTACTGAACAGAAGCCCCATGAAGGTAGGCTTTGTCTAGTTCCCTATGTATCCCCAGCCTCAATAACAGGACCAGGTACACTGCAGGATCTCAGTATTTGTGAATGAATAAACACATGAGCAATGATGTTTCCATACAGTGAATTTACCACACCAATACTAAAAATCATATTTAAGAATGACATGGAAAATCTAATATTATGGTGTTAAAAATAGAAAATAAAGCTTCATCTACATATGTTCTCAACCATTTAAAAACACATATATGTGTACATATATACACATTTGTGCATGTGGGCTAAGTCGCTTCAGTCATGTCTGACTTTTTGCGACCCTATGGACAGTAGCCTGCCAAGCTCCTCTATCAATTGAAGTTTCCAGGCAAGAATACTGGAGTGGGTTGCTACGCCCTCCTCCAGGGGATCTTCCCAATCCGGGGATCTTCCCAACCCAGTGATCAAACACGCATTTCTTATGTCTCCTGCATTGGCAGGCGCGGTCTTTAGCTCTAGCACCACCTGGGAAGGCCATATACACATCTATATATACACCCATATAGACGGATCTCCTTCACTTTTTGAAAGTTTGTATCATACAACTTTGCTTTTACCAAAGACTGACATTAGTACCTATTTTCACTAACAACAAAAAAAACTTTCACTTTTACCAAAAAAGTCAGAAAGCGAAAAAAGCATTCAGCGTTTGTTTTGTAGGACCATTATAGAGGCAGCTCGTATCCCAAGCAGTGAGACTGGCCCCACCAAGCTCCTTTACCGGAAACTACACTCAGCATCTCACGGGGCTTTGAACCATATCTGTGAGCATCTGGGCTTCATCTCGATTCATTTTGTGCACTGTTAGCAAGATGTGTACTGAGGTAATTGCTTCTTCCTTTCACATCATTTAGACTTACAAAAGGTTTCATAGGAAGGCTCTGCTTTCAGATAGCATAAGAAATGTGTACATAGAAAAAATATTGGAAGAAAATAAACTGTTTGGCTATGAGATTCTGAGTGATGGCTGTTTGACACTTTATATGACATTTTCTCTCTGTTTTTCAGATTTTGTATAACAATAAAACACTAATTTAGGGGGAAAAACATGTTTTAAGGTCTGTAGCTTGGTTACTACTCAAGATAATTCTATGACATCACTTCCAAGCAGGCAAAGCTAGAGAGTATCTTAAATTTGGACCAGCAATGCCTGTTACTAGTGGAGGGATTCATTCATTCAACAGGTGAATAGATGATTAATTAGACATGGTTACCTCCAAGACCTGAAGAGAAGAGACACAGCTGCCACAGGTCCTTCTCAGAAATAAAGCAAGGTAAAAATGTTAAAGATAGGAATATCAAGAGTCTTTCATGATGGCGCAGAGCACAGCAAGTGTTCAGTGCATCAGTAAGAAGAGGGCATTGGACGGGGCTAACGTGTGAGACCAGAGGGAAACCCAGTCCCGCCCGCACGGACACAGGTTGGCAGGATTGAACATGGACAAGAACGAGCCTCCTCTCTACCTCTCAGGGTCCGGTGTAGACAGAAACAAGGAGAAATGTGGAAGAAAGGGCTGGTGCGAGGCACAGGAAGGTGCCTGCATGTGGCGAGAAACTGGGGCAGTTGGAGGAAATCCACAGCTCAGAGCGGGTGCTGTCATCTGGGGACTCTGTCCTCTCACCTGGGGTCTGGAAACAGTCTCCTGCCCATCAGGATGCTGGAGGGTTTCTGGAGACACTGTGTTCTCTCCTATGGCACAAAACAACAGAAATCAGGATGCTGCGTCTTTCCCTTCTCTCCTGAAGAAGGGTAATGGGAACACAGTCAGCTTTCCTAATTGCCAAGTGGCTGGAGCTCTGAGCACGTAGCCCCAAGTGCCTAAGAATAAATATGAGGTCCATTTGCACAAGCCTCTCAATTCAGGCCACCCCAAAACATGCAACTCACCCAACCTCCACCCCAAACCAAGATCATTCCACGGGAACCCTGGAAATGAGAGCCACGTCAGGCTGGATCACAGGGATCCTCCCAGCCTTCCCCTCCGTGTGAGACTCCCATCTTGGATGGGACCTTGTGTTAGAAGGTCTAAGATCTGACTCTTCTGTTTGGCTTCTAGCACTTCCCTGGCCTCACTCAGCAGTGCTCACCCACACTCGACCCCTGTTGTCCAAGACTTGATGGGACAGGACAGAAGCACAAGCCTCTGCCCACAGTCCCCAACACGGATGACTTCAGAAAGAGGACGTGGTCTAAACTGCAGCTGCAGGCACAAGTGGCACGGTCTTGCCTTCTACCGCCTCTCTCCTGGAAACTACAGAATCCAAACGGGGGACCGGAGCGGCTGCTGGAGGCTGTGCTGTGTTTGTCCCAGCAGAGAGCGGGGCTGGAATGGGAGACAGCCATCTCCCTCGGATGAACGCGAAGCCACCAGCCCAGGTCTGACACCCGGAGGCCCTCAATCATGTGCACACCGGCCACCCAGGGCTTCACTCGCTCCCACCCCGTATCCCACACTGGCCCCCGCACCGCCCTCCTCTGCTCGCTCCCCTCCACACCTCCCCAGCCAGGGCTCGCTGCCTCGCTGGCAGCTCTTACCAGGGGGCAGGTGTATCTGCTGTGCTCCCTCCCAGGCGCTTCCTCCGGGAGCCCCTGTCGCTGCCACGCTGCCACCGGTCCCCAGCAGATGGGTCTCGGGAACGGAGCAGAGAGGCACCGGGACCCCCACCTGCTCGGAACTTCCGCCTGTCGGGTAGGAGCCGGGCTGCTGTGGGCTGGGCTGGGCGGGGCGCGACTGCTCCGGAGTTGGCCACAGAGCTGAGCGGTCGCCATAGGCTCCTGAGTTGCCTTGAGGTCCAGAAAGATCATGATAGAAAGTGTTTTCTAAGGACACAGGACAAAGAAGAAGAGGTGAGACCTGTAGTGTGGCCTTTGTGTGGACTAAACACCAGGAACAAGCCTGCTCTTTGGAAAGCAGTGACGAGGACAGGCCAGTTGACGTGGCCACCATCAAAGTGACAAGTACAACATAGCAGCGATTTTAACACCTCCCACCATTTAGGACTTAGAGTTTTCAAAACTATATCCCTCATAGCCTGTATGATCTCTGAGCCTTTTAAACCAGGGGGTTGGGATGGCAGAAATGACCATCTCGTTTAACTCTACATCTTTTAGCTTTTGGATAAACTGTTTTTTTGTTTTTTAATGGATTTCCTAATGGACTGGGGTACTTGGAACTTAGAAAGTTTCAACTTAAAACCCAAATCAGACCTCAGAAATAATGGCTTTGTTTTGAAAGATAAGAGCTTTGGCCCAGGAAAGGGACTTGGTGACATTCTTTCTGGCTTCGCTGTGTTGCTGATGAGACAGACCAAGGTGTGGACTGTGGACGTGGACAACTGTTGGCCCAAATAACGGGACTAGTGAGGTCGGCTGACCTACCAGCTTGATGGGGTGACAGGAGACACAGCTGTTTCCCAGGGGAAGTGACCACTCCGGAGCACCCAGCCTGCTCTCCCGCATCCCTCTCCCCTCACCAATTCTGGGGCACACAGCAAAGCTGGGAAACAGAGACCAAGGCCTGCCCAGCCTTGCTGTCCCCTTAATCATCCCTAGAGGAGGTACAAAAGGCTGGGAATCAGCCAGAAGCAAAGCCGTGAGACCCCATCCTCACCCCACCAGTGAGTGCTATTTGGGGAAACAGCATGGAGTTAACTGGGATAATAACGTCTGCCCAGCCCAGCACTTGAAGCATCCTAAGGGAGAAGGAGGGATCTGTTGAAAACACTTTGAAGCCTATTTCACGTGTGTGGCAACTGATGCTCAGACACCATAGGCACTTCCAATGTACCCACCACTAACATGAAATACAGATGATCCACCACCTCAAGCATCAAGAAATGCATCCACATGGGGAGATGGTACTGACACTAGTGAAGCAACTATATAACAACACAACAACAACAAGATTAAAGCCTGAAAGTGAAACAAAAACTCTAATGATGCGGAAACAGAAGTGTCAGGGAAGGCTGTGGACGGCAGGGCTGTGTAGAGAGAAGCCTGCACCACGGGTCAGACCGACACGGGTGAGGAAGGCACTCCAGGCAAGGAAGGGGGAAAGTTTTTTGTTAGGTTATCTCCTATAATCAGATCCCGAGAGTTGGCTATTTACACACTCAGTTCATTAGTTTAGGTACCTGGAGTTTTTCTGAGTTCTGAAATAACCGCTTGAGCAGAGTGAGGACCCCCAACGTCTCCTGCTTCCTTTTGCTATTAAGATAAAGTAAAATCCTCTTAGGTGACACAAAGGAAAACAAAAACAAAGAAGCATGATTTGAAATGAAGTCAAGCAACTTCAGCAGTGATGTGGTAAGGGAGCCTCAGCTGAGTGCGGGGCTGTGAGGGGTTGGGGGTGGGGGGCCCGCGGCTCTTCCTGCCCCGCAACTCTGCTTGGAGACAGCAGGCAGAGGCCAGGGCCTCCTCCTCTCCCAGAGGAAGGGACAAGAGGAGGGGACTAAACCACGGGCCCCAGAGCCCACAGCACATGGGGGAAGCAAGGGCCGCGTGTGTCTAAAAAAAAAAAATCCACCTGCCCCTTTCTCAGAGACAGAGGAAGAAAGGAAATGGAGGAGGCCCTGTTCCAATTACTGTGACAATTACTACCAGCCACTTTTGCAATTGTCAGAACAAAAAAAAAAAAGAAGGAAAGGTGCGGAAGTCTTTTAAGCAATTGCCCTACATTACATGAAAGTGACACCGGGCCGCTGTGAGCCACTGTTCCTCACAGAGAGAGACAGAAGCTTTGATGGTCAAACAATGTATTTTCTAGGACCGCAGAGAAGGGTGGCTGGGTGACTCGGGAGAGGGTCCCACTGTCTCCCAGGGGAACACAGGAAAATGTCTCCACCCGGGAGGGGAGCGCGTTAGCAGAGAGGGTCGGGTGGGGTTGGTAGCTGAGCTCTACCCCTTCCCCCATTAGGCTGTGCTTCCTTGGGGACAGAAGACCCCAAGGCCCTCCACAGTGTTGGGGACTTGCCGAGGTCAGTGCCTGCCTACCCTGGGTCCAGAGGAGCCGAGAGGGGCGCAGAGGCCCACCCTGCTGACCGTGCCCCCTCACCTGCAGCTCCCTGTGATGCCCCCGGAGGTGCGCCAGCCAGTCCGGCTCCAGGTCCCTGTCTCCTCGGCAGCGGCGGCGTTCTAAAACCAGAGGATCTGACAGCTTCAGTCTCTCTGCCAGCTGTGCCCGGTTTCCAGATGGTAAGAGAGGGAAAAGGAGGGAGAGAAGTAGGAGAAAGGACCATGGGGAGAAGCAGTAGGAAAAAGAAGAAAGGAAGCCTTTGCTCCCTTGTAAATCAGATTACAAAGAACTGCCGAATAGCAACATCAGCAGATACCTTCCTCAAATCGCAACATAAACAGTTAAACCATCCTGGTGTTAGATACTAAATAAAATATGAGGAGAAACTGCTACTCTGCTCTATGTCTCTGCAAAGCTGTTCTCAGGAGCAGTGCTTCTCAAACTTCAGAGCTGGTAGGAACCAGCAGGGATTTTGTTAAAATGCTAATTCCGATCCCAGAAGTCTGTGGGGCCTGAGATCCGGCATTGCTAACAAGCCCCCCACGAGGTGATGCCCATGTTGCCAGTCAAAGGACTGCTTATGTTGCAAGACTATTCAATCGTTGCTTTTCTGGTGGCTCAGTGGTAAAGAATCTGCCTGCCAGTGCAGGAGACGCAGGTTTGATTCCTGGGTCAGGAAGATCCCCTGGAGGAGAGAATGGCAACCCACTCCAGTATTCTTGCCTGGGAAATCGCATGGCCAGAGGAGCCTGCCGGGCTACAGTCCATGGGGTTGCAAAGAGTAGGACACAACTTAATGACTAAACAACAACAGCAACATCCCATCATTAAGTCCCCAAACTTTCCTACTCCTCCCTTCTGGCTCCTGAGCTGCCTACAACCATCATCCTATTGGCAGAAATTTGCCATGAGGGCACTCACTAGCACAGATTTTACTGGCTACAGAATCCAACACTTGGGCCTCATTTAAAGCAAAGCAAAAATTGACAGTAAGCTGCCTTTTTACTCTCAGCTAATGGATTTTTCTTCAATTAATTGGAACAACTATTTGCCTGATTGTTTTCTTTACCAGGAACTAAAAGTTGATGTTTTTGTTTTCTTTTTTTTGAATGTATCTCACATGTGATAAAATATTCCATGCATTTAAAAGCATTTTAATAAGGATCATTTCCCATTTTAATCACTAAAATATACTTTCTAAGCCCAGCTCTTATAATTAGAATGGTTTGCCATAACATGCATTTTTACTGTACCAAAAGGCAGATGCAAGAATGACTTCCTTGCACAGCACACGCCTGGTTTCCAGTCCCTCTATTTCAAACCCACTCCCACCCCCCGCCCCTCCCACCCATAGCATCCTTCTTTATGCAGTGTCAGGCTCTGCTTATCACATCTGGGCATGCATATGTGGTCAAAGACAGCCAGGGGCTCCAATTTTATAGCATGTTCAAAGAAGATGAAACGGGGCTCTGAGCCGCTTTACAACAGCTTTCTCTGAACACTGAAGATAACACACCTGCAGAGAACCCTTTGAGAAGCTCACCTTGATGAGTTCCACTAATAGCAGAGGGTGACTGCTCTCTCCGTGGCTCAGGAGGGCTGTACCAATGGCTTCGCAGTAATGCAAGGCCTGGGACGTGAGGCCGTAATCTGCCAGACGGGAAGCATAAAGGAGCTTATACACCTGCGAAGAGGAGCAGGGCCAGAAAGAGAGACGTGGAGATAAGACTTCTTGGAAGTCAGTGAACTGCCAACTTCCTCTAACTCTGGGTCCAAATATTAAAGAGGGCCTTGCAACATTTAGGGCATTCTATCTGTGTACAGGCACAGTTCCAAACCCAGCCCGCAGTTCCGTCATTGCAGAGAACGGGGTGGAAGGCACATCAGCTGAGTCTCCTGAGGTGCTGGTCACCATGGAAATGCACTAGCCTCTCCACTTCTTATCAGGCAGCCTGCATCTCTGAGAAGCCTGGTGTGGGGGTGGGGGGGGGCAGAGGACCAGGCACCAGGGACACAGGTAAAAGAAGAAAAAAAATGCCTCCAATGGAAGGGGCTTCAAGCCTAAGAGGCAGAGTAAGACAGATACAGGTGAGGGTTCAGAGAAGCACAAGGGACAGGGCCAGATGGAGTACAAAGGGGCTGGGAATCAGACAGACCCAAGTTCAAACCCCAACTCTATGCTGGATATGGAACATGAAGCTAGCTCACCCACCTCCTCTCTGCACCTCGGTTTCCTCACTCTAATATGGGGATGATACTACAATCTACCCCTTGGTTGCTATAAAGATTCAATGAGATAATCCATATAAAGTCCCTAGAGCCAATGGTACCCAAGAGATGTGAGCCAATAGCATGTAACTCCTTGGAACCTCTTTTGTGAAAAGAGGGTAATCATGCCTGCCTCACAGAATTAGAAATCACACAGTCAGAAGATCACAGCACTGTGCCAGGTATGTAAAACTCATTCCCTAAAAACAGCTCATCTCACTGCTATCAGTCCAAAGCCAGCTGAGAGGTGGGATGACTACAGTAGAGAAAGACAGAGACTGAAGACCTGCATGGACCCCAAGCAGCTCCTTGGGCAGGGCTGCGCTGGAGAAGATGGGTCTTTGGTAAAACCCTTACAGAAGATACTAACTGGGTCACTGCCCTCCAGACAGTAATCCATCTGTTTCCAAGGCTTTTTTGTGTGTTTGGTGGTGATGGTGGTGATGGTGGGGTATGTATGTGTGTGTGTGTGTGTTGTTGCCACCAGAGACACTCTCACTACAATCACTGACGAAGTCTTTGGGGATCAAAGGGGACACCAGGGCATCCAGTAGAGGTTGAGAGGTTAGAACCTGGACATGGATGCGGCCTACACACCTGCAGCCATGAGAGGAAGAGGAAGGACAGGGGCCAAGGTCAGAGCAGGGAGGAATTCCAGAGTTAAAGAGGGAGGCATCCGAGAGAGGCGGGAGTGGCAGGTCAGAGGACAGCAGGAACGGTGAGCAGCCGGGCCGCCCCAGCAGGATGACCGTGGAGCCGAGGGGATGGAGCCGTTAGAGCGGAAGGAGCTGGGGCGGGGCCCCCAGGGAGCCTGCTCAGGAGGGAGGCAGGAGCCCGCAGCACAGAGGCTGCTGCCGTGTTTTGCTTTTCTATCTTAAAACGCAGAACTTCATGGGGCCTCGAAAGAAATCCTAGCCCTTCCCACACTCCAGCTCATGAGGAAAAGTTCAGTGGATGACTTAGCCCAGCCGCTACGTGCCAGAGAGCAAGGCTGAGAATCCAGGTGCCCACAGCCGTCAGATGCAGACAAGGCCTCGAGAGCGTTGAGTTACCTGGAAAGAAGGGATGAAGGATCGGGGACGGCCCAGCATCTGACAGTACTCGAAGATTTCCGTCCTCTGGATAGCCTCAGTTGTTGCAAATTTCAAAAACTCTTGACTAAAACCAGGGAATAACAATAAAAGAGTTTGAGGTCGAGGCGGGTAGGGGACGTATTTCACTCACAGATAGCCAAACACCAGCTGCATCCATTCACGGCAGAGTTTCTGTCCTGGGCTGCTCCCTGGGGCAGCTCCAAGAGAAGAAGGAGAATCTGTGCCCCCAAAGGCCCTGGGGGAAGGCGGGGCCAAGCAAGGGGACTTCAGGGAGTGGGGGCGGTTCCTGCCATCTTTCCTGGAGGGCCACTTAAGGCAAGATGCTCTCATGCCCAGCTCAGAGGGGCACTGCGTCCCCCCTGTAAGCATGCTGAGTGCCAGCCTTAGTGCCCTGAGAGCCCAGAGTGGGTGTCTGGGAGAGGTCACCCCAGCCTGAGCAGAAGAGCAGGAAAGAGGGAGCCATGTGATGTTCCAGGAGCACTGAAGAAAGAAGGCCCTGCAGAGAGAGGGTAGCACCGCAGAGCCAAAAATCAAATGACAGTCCCCACATTGGATGCTCATTCCAGTGAGAAAGCAGACTGAGTGAACGTGATCAGGGGGCCCTCAGAGTCTCCATGGGCCCCAAAACAGCTGCCATGGGGGCTGAGACCATAATCACCAGGGCTTCCCCTGGGGTCAGGGCTGGATCTCTATAAACAACCTCATACAATACACAGGAGGGAGACACCTTAATCCGGGAGTCTCCAACCTCCAGGATCTAACGCCTGGTGATCTGAGGTGGAGCTGATGTAACAACAAAAATAAAGTGCACAATAAATGTAATGCACTTTATTCATACCAAAACCATACAGGGTTCCCCACCCCCACCCCCACCCCCACCAACTCTAATCCGTGGAAAAATTGTCTTCCACGAAACCAGTCCCTGGTGCCAAAAGGGTTGGGGATGCTGCATAACCCATTTTGCTTATTTGTCACATCTGGCCCAGACAGCCTTCTTTGACAAGTTAACTACGTGCTATCAGAGACCATGACCTTGACAGACAGGTTATGAGACGATGCATTTCTACGAAGAAAAGCCCTAACAGTCTGGATTCCAAGTCCAACCTGACTCCACTTTAGCTGTACAATCTTCGACCCGTTACTCCACCTCTCTGTGCCTCAGTTTCCCTCCTCTATAAAGTGAAGCTTAAAAATACACTTTCTTCACAGGGTAAATGTGTAATGATTAAAGAAAATGGTGCAAATAAAACAGCTGGTACAAGGTAAGAGCTTAGGAAACCTTCACTATCACAGAGAGAGAGAGAGAGAAAGAAAGATCCAGAATGTGGAGGGTGGCTAGAGAGCAATCTGCTCTTTTCATCCATTTATTCACTGTCTAGGGGCTTATCAAGGTCCTTCTATGTGAGAAGTCTAATGTTATGGCCAGCAGGGAATGAGTGACAGGCCTGACTTTGAGTAGCTCGTGTGTCAAGTCAGTGTAAGGTGTGGGGGCGAAACACAAGCTTCTTCCACTTGCAGGTTTTGCCCAAGGCCGGTTCTGAGAACAGGTCCAGGGCGGCCTAACGCACAGCCTCAAGCCACCGCGCTCGTATTAGCCTTCTCCAAGAGTCGGTCTCCGGTCATGGAGCCAGGGCGCCACCGAGTGGCCAGAGGGGCATAATACAACCCACGGGCACCAGCTCGCAGCTTCCGGGAGCAAGGCCTGGGCCTGGGGACCCCTGGCGGTGTGATGCCGCACTCTTCCCGGCACCTCAGCCCAGAGCCTACCTGTGCTCAAAAACCGTCAGCAGTAGCTGAAAATTCACAAAGGACAGTGGAAAAATGAAGCCATGAAACCCAGCTAGGGCGAAACCAATCCCCTGGAAGACGTCCTCCCACTCTCTGCCCCCCTGAAGATGGGTATACCTGTGGCTACTGCCCAGCAAGGCCAAGTAGTCTGTCTTCACGGTGTAGTAGCCGAAGGGCACGTGAGCCATGAGGTAGCAGAAGTGAGCAGCCTCCACCAGCCCCTTCCCAGCTGTAGGCAGAGAACAAGCCTGGGTCAGGGAACACACCCACAAAGGGAGGGACCCACCATCCGGGTGGGAGGGGAGAGGGTTAGAGAGCGGCTCTGAGGTCCGAGCAGGGAGCTTCAGGGGAATAAAAGAACAAGCTCGCCATGACACGAGTCACAGACCCCAAACCCCACTCCCTCTCCCACCCCATTCCTGCCCTCCGACATTATATTGCACTTCTCTTCAGCCAGAAAAAGGAACTATTTCACATTCCCCCTAATGGACTTTTGATGAGGACGTCTCTAAGCATTTTAGCCCTTCTGGAAGGGAACAAATAGGTAAGAAATGCCTACACCTGAACAGAGAAGCAGACCCTTGGAAGCAGCGGTTTTTAAACTAGGCTTCTTGGGACATTGATTCCTCCTCCGCTAAAAATCAAACAATAGAAGACTTTTTCCCAGTGCTCATAAAAATCACATTCAGTACCAAATTGTTCCCAGTTTTTAAATGTTCTCCCATACCTTTTTCATTACTTCAACATTGAGTTAATTCAAGTAGGCAAAGTAATTAGCCTGGCACCCAAGAAGGTTCAACAAAAGTTAAGTTCTTTCTACCCAGGTGCTAAATAACCTGTCATTTGACTGGGCACAACTTTACCTGTAGCTATTTTAAGTTTAGCAGAGCAGTACTTCACGAAGTGCCACAAAGCAATGATTTTCTAAATATTTTGTCCCTTGACCCAATCTGAGAACCACTGATCTGCAACATCCAACAGCCCCTAAGTGTTTAAAAGGCCACATTCACAAAGAGATGATAGAAATAAAGACTACACAGTTACCCAGGGTAGCTCAGGCAAAAATAGAATCTCCTATCTGGTTGAGCTGGGTCACTGGGGGACTAACAACAACAGTAGGGGAGATGCTCCAGGTGTTAAATCCATCTTCTGGGGACTCTGACCCCAGCACATGAATCAACCACTCAGGGCAGCCTCCTGCAGCGGCAGGACACCGGAGCCTCAGGGGCCTGGCCTGCACTCACTCACAGCAGAAATCTGGGAAACGGAAAGGCAAGAAGGACACTCCTTTCCCTGGATTTTCTGTCCCCAAAACACTGAGGCTCCTGGGTCAAAGGAATGCCTGAGGCATAGACTTGGGCCCAACACAGAACCGAAGTCTAAGCGCAGGGTGTTTAAAGCTGGCCTGGAGACAGAGGCGAGGAGGGGACGGAGCTGGTCTCTGCTTACCCAGGGTGTCCCCCATGGTGACAATCGTGCGTTGGTACAGCTCCGGGTCTCCACCCTGATTCGACAGAATCACTGCCAAGTGTGGCCTCCAGTCTCCCCACTGCTTGTCCCCACAACACTGAAAAGCAGTAGAAAAATTGAACACTGGCTGAGTAACACAGCCCCGGCCAGAACATAGATTAAGGAAGGCTGTTGTCTATTTTCTGATTTGCCAGGAATGCCTATTAGGCTGCCTGCAGTGCGGCCACTCATTGATTCTGAGTTTTCTTTTTTGAAAAAAAAGCAAAACTCTTAGAAGGATGGGTAGGCAGACCCATATAAATACATACATACACAGGAGTATTGGGAGGTGGTGGTTGGTGGTTTAGTTGCTAAGTTGTGTCCGACTCTTGTGACCCCATGGACTGTAGCCTGCCAGGCTCCTCTGTCCATGGGATTTTCCTGGCAAGAATACTGGAGTGGGTTGCCATTTCCTTCTCCAATATTGGGAGGTAGATAAATAAATAAAATCACACTACTAGTCACTAATTTTCAAATTTCATCCTGGTGCCCCTAATCTCGATAGCTGGGGACAAAATTTAAAAAAAAAAAAAAACATTGATATTGATATTGATACATTTCCTTCTTGGAGGATCGCAAACCCTTAGTTCATGAGAAGAGTCCATATTAACCTGTAAGAAAACAGGGGAACACTGGGCTCCTTAATATTTTACCAAATGGCTAATGTTCTCTGTTTTTACAGAGTCCTCTTCTACACATCACCTTCTTTAATCTTCTCACAACTCCGTGAAATCTAATTCTCATCGCCTCTTGAGAGAAAACAGGCCAAGGGGCCCAGCCAGCGTTAGTCGCTGGTGACGATGCAGGGGCAGCAGAGCTCCACAAGGGGGCGGTCGAGGGTAGTCAGAGAAGTGGGCGCGGGTGGAAGCCCCATAGGAACGGATGGGCCGTCCTTCTGAATGCCGGGGAATTTCGGGGCAGAGGAAATAGCAATAAAGAAAACAATGTCACAGGCGCTGGATTCAACAGGAGTCCTGCCTCTTGAGCAAGTTTCTTAATGCCTTTGAAGCTTTGTTTCTTCATCTCCTAAATCGAGTTCATAATGTCTACCTGACTGGATTACTGTTGGTAGTGAAATGAGATCGGTAAAGCCCATAGCGTAGTGCCTTGCACGTAGTTTGCACTTTATAAATTACATGTAGGTGTAAATACACACACACACAAGCACAGCAGAGGAAAAGAGGTGATTTGCAGGCCAGTCTGTCCTCCAATTTGTTACACAGAATGGACAGAACAGGAGATTGACAGTAATAGCTAAGATCTGGAGGTCAAAACAATTCACAATTATTTGGTATTGTATTTGTAATTATCCCACAGAACAAAAGATGCTTTATCCAGCTCCATTTTATAGATACTCTTTGTTTATCTGGGCAAAGCAGTGTGAATGAGAGGAATGATGATAATAATAAATCACAAAAATAATAGCAGTTCTCACTTATTGCACTCTGACCCTGGGCCACAGCCTGTGCTAAGCATTTCTCCTATGAACAATCACATGCATTAAGTACCATTATTATTCCCATTTTAACGTGTGAGCCAGGCTCTTTCTGGCTGGAACTAAGGGAGCCAGCAACAGAAAAGCTTTTGCTTTTTTTTTTTTCTTTTAGAACAAAACTTAGAAGCAATTCTTCTCCTCCCCAGGTGATTGGGGGGTGGGGATCACTGTAAAGGAGGTCTATAGAGGTGGGGAGAGACAGAGAACACTTATTAACTAACTTCAATGGGCCAAGCATGGCCATTAATACATTCAGATATTCTCTCTCCTTTAAATTTTTACAATAACTCTGTTAGGCATCAAAATGCCCACAAAGATGAAAAGCTGAGACTCTGAGACTAAGTAACAAGACCCAGTTCACACAACAGTGAGGAGCAGAGTCTAGGTTAAGCCTGTGACAGAAGCCCACATCTGTTTTCCAGTCGCCATGCTTCGTCCACTACACCTCTCACTGTAAGTACCAGAGTCTAGCCTTTACTGGCTGCTATGATGCTAGGAAACTCTCCAACACGGGTGTCAAATACCACAGTGGCATATCACCTCTGGCTCCTTGGTTTTCTCACCCAAAAGCAGGGATCAGTTAGCAAACTCTACCAGTGTACTGAGACCCAATGTTGTTTGTTGATTACATCACTCCCTGTATGATTACATCACTCCCTGCATTTAGCGTTTTGTGACATGTAGGATTTCATTGCAGATCACATGTACTCGGCAGAACTGTGAGGTGCATCGCATGTTCTCATATAGTCAGTTCATTTGACAAAGGGGCATGAAAGTCAGTATTTCTCTTTTCTTTTCTTGAAATTGTCCACAAGCAATAAGAAGGACAAAAAAGCAAAAGTGTGAGTGTGTTTTCATTAAAACTAAAAGTCAGCAAAAACCCAAGCCTCTAAATACAAGAAAGGGCTTCCAAAAGAGATTGAGCACAGGTGGGTTCGGGAGGCAGAGAGAGAGAACACCAGAGACAGGGGATCCCACAGCCATCTCCATTGGCTGCGGAGAAGCAAAGACGCTCACAGAGAGTCCCAGGTTGTATGGAAATGCCAGCTGGCCTGGAACATGGCCCTGGCATCTCCCCAGCTCAAACCTCCCATAAATAACTGGTCCAAGGAAGGCTTGAAGCCTGTGAGGGAACAAATACAGAATTTGTACAAATATACCATCAAGATAAAAGGAGGGAAGAAGGTAGAGAGAACATTCACCAGAAAAAAAAAAAAAATGATACCACCAAAGAATGGTCATCAAATATTTCATCATGAATGTAAGTAAAATAATGAAACAATTGCTTTTATGAAGCAAGAACCTAGAGCTAAGTTATAGGAGCAGAGGAAAGAGATGGTGGAGAACAGGAGGAGGTAGATGTGCAAAGCTCAGGAGGGCAGTGGAAGGAAAGTCAAAGAAATAAAGACAAAAATGGAGGGGACTTCCCTGGTGGTCCAGTGGTTAAGAATCTGCCTTCCAATGCAGGGAATGTGGGTTCTATACCTGGTCAGGGAACCAAGATCCCACATGCCATGGGGCAAATAAGCCCACACAACACAACGACTGAGACTCTGTGCTCTGGAGCCCACACACCGTAACCAGAGAGAAGCCACACTCCCACAGCAAAGAACCGGGGCACCACAACTAAGACCAGAAACAGTCAAATAAATAAATACATATGTATTTTTTTTTAATGACAAAATTTCAAAGAGCACAGCAAGTAAGAGACACCGATGAAAATATAGTAAGGGACACACAGGAGGGACACAGCAAAAAAGAAGAAAAGAAAGAATTAATCATATATATATACTATTATATTTTGTATATAGAGGGAGTTCCTAAAAAGAAAATCAAAATAAGAGAGCAAAACAAATACTGAAGGACATAATTCAAGAAATTTTTCCTGAAGTGTAAGAGATGGATGCACATATTAAAACATCATGCTCTATCCCCCAAAAATTGACACAGTCAGTCAACAACAAGATATATCTTACTAAAATTACTGGACTTCGAGGATAAGGAAGGGGTACCTTGGGACAAAAAGATCAAGTCTCTTATCATGGGAAAACTATCAAGGTGGCCTCAGGGTTCTCTTGAACCACATCTCACACTGACGACCTGTAGAATCTAAAGTGTCCCTCTTTGAAGGGTCCCTTGCAGTGATGGGGAAGGAAGGAAGCCTGGTTGTGGGAAGCGGGGAGAGCAGCCTCAGCTTCACTCGCTATTCTTCACTCAGCAGGTAGCTGTGGATTTGTGGAAAGAGCAAGATCTTTGGAATTAGATAGACCTCGACCGATCTTGACTCCTCTGCCCCTAGCTCTGTGATCTTGGGTCATTTTACACTTTTGAATCTCAGTTTTCATGATTGCAAAACAGGGATAATAATTCCTACCTCCACGCATTAAATGAAATAATATGCATCACAATACTTAGCACAGGACCAGGCAGATGGCAGGTGATTAAGGGACAGTTGTTATTTTATTTGTCATCTCTAAAGCCATCACCTCGTTTCTGAGCAGTCCCCACCCACTAAACCCTTAGGATGCTGGGCTCCTGTTACGAAGGGTACCGTGGCTGCCTGTGGGATCCTCCCCGACATAAGCTGGAAGAGAGTCTGCAGTGGATCGTTGAGCGCCAGCGTGCTGGTGAAGCTGCAGAGAGAGGGGACCGACCATCAGTGGGGACCCAATCAAGAGCACCTCTAATCCATTGCCTTGCAGTGGCTTCTGTTGAAACTGGAGTTTCTCTCTGCTTTTCGGTTATGGCTCAGCTCCATCCCACTTTCAGACACCCATCCCACCACTCACCCCAAGCAGACCTCACCACCCGGGGAGACCTTGTGCACTTCAGCACTGACACCCTAACTCTTGAGCAAACCATTTTTATAGACCTTCGTCCATCATGGAGATGAACCACACATAAGTCAATGAACGCTGAGAGCCCAACAGTAAACCTGAACCTCTTCTTTCCAGACCCCTCCTCCCCAGCCACCCTCGACACCCACTGCCCCAAGGAAGTCCTCCTCCAGGCCAAGCCTACAGTTCTCAGTGCTGTTTTTTTGGGCTTATCACTAACCCGAGTGCCTTTGCTCACAAGTACTAAATAGTCATTTTCAGTAACTGAAGAGGCGCAGAGCAGGGACCAGAAATGATCCTGCTGATGACAAACCATGGGATCTGCTTAACAAGTATATAATAAGCTCTATGGCTGATTTGAGATTTAAGCATACTCAGTAAGAGAGATATTTCACGATTCACTGGGCCCCATCAAACATCAATGGCCCAAGGCGGAAATCCGTAGCAGAGATGTATGCTACAGCACAGGGTTGTGGGATGCTCGCTTCCAAAACCTAAAGGAAATTTATCCCTCATAATGCTGTCTTTAACAGCATCCTTCCTCCAGAGCTTGGAGTGCTTCTCCTCAGAGAAGTTCAGTGCTCCTCACTGTTCTGGCCTCTGAACATAATGAAGTACATGGTGGTCACTATTTACTGGGAAGACTGAGGATCAGAGTAATAGAGACTCATCAGGGGCCATGGTGAAGAACAGACTCCCAGACAGTGGGATAGATGTGAGCCCCACAGACCAAACTTAAAGTTGGGGTGTCTATCTTCTTATCAAACTCTGCCCAGCAGGATTTAAAGCCAATTTAAACGTAAGATGGCTTCCCTGGTGGCTCAGATGGTAAAGAGTCTGCCTGCAGTGCAGGAGACCCAGATTCAATCCCTGGGTTGGGAAGATCCCCTGGAGAAGGAAATGGCAACCCACTCCAGTATTCTTGCCTGAAAAATCCCATGGATGAAGGAGCCTGGTAGGTTATGGTCCATGGGGTCATAAAGAGTCGGACACGACTGAGCAACTTCACTTCACTTAAATATAAGATAAGGCTTCCCTGGTGGCTCAGCAGTAAAGAATCTGCCTGCCAAATGCAAGAGACCCAGGTTCAATCCCTGTGTCGAAAGATCCCCTGAAAAGGAAATAGCAACCCACTCCAGTATTCTTGCTGGAGAAATACCAGGGACAGAGGAAATACCAGACCTGGTGGGCTACACAGTCCATGGGGTTGCAAAGAGTCAGACACGACTGAGCAACTAAACAACAACAAGCTGAGAAGGTTGCTTCAAGGCTTTAAGCAACACGAGAAGATAAATGTTGAGTTAGCATCCTTCTCACTGTCTGACCCAAGCCTGCTCCTTATGGGAGGGGCCCCCACCCCACCCCATCCCTGCCACACATCTGTCCCCAGCCACGCACAGATGCTAACTGCAGCCTGAAGGGCTGACCCCCGCACCCGCTACACCCACCGCCTCCGTCTGATCCCGAGTCTCCTTAACTGTTTCATCGCCCCTGTTCTAAACTCCTGGCTAGGTACTCACACCTGCATTCCTATCCCATTCTGGTCTGAGCCTTCTTCCCAGTGTCCCCTGGCACCCAGGTCCTGATAAGCCAGTACAACCTATGACCGAGGACATCCCTTCAGTCTTGACATCTCCCTTTAGATGAAGTCTTCCGTATCTAATCTCCAGCCTTATAAACCCCTTTCTCCCACAGCTCACAGTCCTGCTACTGTGTACCTCTCCCTTCTTCTCAGCACCCACACCCCCACTGCAGGACTAAGCAGAGAGTTACTAACTCTCAGTCCTAAGGCTCTGTCATTCACCCTTAAGGGATCCACCCCCTCACTGATTCAACTCTCTAGAGTTCTAGGAACTTCTCTCTTCCAATGAGAGAAGGCTACTGCAATGCAGAATCCTGTTTAATCTTTGGATCTCTGACCCTAAGAAAATGTTAGTAAAATGTTTTGTTCAACTTAGCAGCTAAAAAGAATGTATCCGGGCCTAGGTTATAAGGATCTGGAGAAGAGAAATACTACGCCCGACTTGGAATTGGAAAGACGCTTGGAGGATGGGGCCCCTCAGTGCATCTTGTACGTCTCCCTACCCTCATCCCCATGTTTGGAGGGGAGGTCTCTCCACTCCACTGGTCTCTCCGTGCGCAAGTCCCCAACTCACCCACTCATGACCCAGCTGTAGGTCCTCGGGTCCATCTTGCTGGAGAGGAACAGAGCGTGGCCCCACAAGTGGTTCTTCATAGCCCACTCCAAGGCTTCCTGAAAACACAGACATCGCCTTCAGGACCTCCGGGCTCACCTTCCTCTAACACAACCAACAACTGTGCTGGGTACCGCCGCCCCCTGAGCAACTAGAGGCCAGGCTTCCAGGAAGACTCGCAGAGCCTCCCATGTGAATCTGGGTGAACCAGATTCAGCTGGCGGGTATTTCTCTCCATTGTCCCTTTCTCCAACCTTCATGTTATCAGAACCTACTACATGAGTTCATTAGCTCCCCACAAACATGGTCACCAGTTACCTTTATCTCTTGAGAAAATGTCACATGATACTTTCATGAGCCTAAGCACCAAGAATGAGAGAGGCATTTCACACCAAGGACTGAGTCTCTAAAGATGAGCTGTAAGATGGCGTTCACAGGGCATAGTAGAGGAACTGTTAATTAACAACTGTGGCAGAGACACGTAGTTCCTCACCCAATTCCATGCTCTCCTTCCTGGGCCAAGAGCTGGACTGTATTTCCCACCTCCCTGGCACTGAGGTGTGGCTGAGTCCTAGGTTATCAGATGGGAATGGAAGCAATACATGCAGCCTCTGGGTCTGGCCCATAGAACTCCCCGTGCTCAGTCCTCCATGGCCTTGTTCCCATCTGGCTAGAATACAGATGACACCCAGGAGCCTTAGAGACTCTATGTTGAAGATGGTAGAGCCTCATACAGCTGAGTCCTTGGGTTACTTATGGAGGAGGGCTGCCCCATCTTCTGTTCACCTGCTCAGTACTCTCACATGAAGAGAAAAAGGCTGCTATTATGTTTAAGCCAGTATACATAGCCATTCCTACCCCACCTAATACTATAACTAACTGCTTACTAACTATCAAGTGCTTATTAGTTAACTAGTCAACTTCATATGTCAAAGTAATCACACCATTAATTTGGTGACATGGGTCAAAAGCTGCAAACTTAAAAACATACACATACATATATTTATCTCTTCATTTAATTTTCAAAACTATTTAGTAAGAGTTTAATTTATATGTGAGGTTGAGTGGTAAAGAAGCCACCTGCCAATGCAGGAGACACAGGAGATGCAGGTTTGATCCCTGAGTTAGGAAGATCCCTGGAGGATGAAATGGCAACCCACTCTAGTAATCTTGCCTGGAAAAATCCCATGGACAGGGGAGCCTGGTGGGCTACTATAGTCCATGGAGTCACAAAAGAGTCAGACACAACTTTGTAACTGACCACGCAATTTTCTTACTGTCCCCAAAATAATTTGATTTTTGGACAGGAGGTTACTAATGAGGTATTTCCACCTCCAAATGAAAATGCATTTGATTATCCCAATATCTCCCACATTACTGTATTTAAAGAGACAATAAATTTAAACAATTATAGTTAGGAAATTCAGCCTCATAGTCAGTAGAAGTAAAAGTGACATTAAGATTGCTCTTTTTGAAACAAGTTCCTACTGTATAGCACCAGCAACTATATTCAAAATCCTGTAATAAAACATAATAGGAAACAATATTTAGAAAAAGTGTATCTTTATGTATAACTGCATCACTGTGCTGTACAACAAAAATTAACACAACATTATATATCAACTATACTTCAATTTACAAAAAAAAAGAAACCCAGGCAAAATCTTAAAAAAAAAGAAAATGTTCTTTTTGGGAAAAAGAAGATTGATATTTTTGTACATTAAACTATTTCATAGTAGTATTTTTTAGAAGGATTTACTAAAGACGGGTAAGCTTTCTTATCTCTCCTTGCTATTCTTTGGAAGTCTGTATTCAGTTGGGTGTATCTTTCCCTTTCTCCTTTGCCTTTTGCTTCTCTTCTTTTCTAAGCTCTTTGTAAGGCCTCCTCAGACAACCATTTTGATTGGTGGGGATTTACTACATTAGTCAAAAATCTGCATCCCCAAAAATATAATTAAGAATAAGTGATGAATTGAGAACTTATATGGAGGATATCAATCTTGCCCAATGCCAGAATTAAGATCCTGCTGCTGCTGCTAAGTTGCTAAGTCGCTGCTAAGTCCGACTCTGTGCAAACCCACAGACGGCAGCCCACCAGGCTCCCCCGCCCCTGGGATTCTCCAGGCAAGCACACTGGAGTGGGTTGCCATTTCCTTCTCCAATGCATGAAAGTGAAAAGTGAGAGTGAAGTCTCTCAGTCGTGTCTGACTCTTAGCGACCCCATGGACTGCAGCCTACCAGGCTCCTCCATCCATGGGATTTTTCAGGCAAGAGTACTGGAGTGGGTTGCCATTGCTTTCTCCTGAATTAAGACCCTAGTCAAGTGTTAATATAAGATTTAAAAAATATTGTGGAGTCCAGTTCCTCACCCTGAACTCCCACAGTGCTCTATCTAGCCTTGCTACCTTTGGGTCATAGTATGACAGATGATGTGGTGGGTGGTTACAAGCCCAAGCTCAGGTACCAGGCTGCCTAAATCTAAACCTGGGCTTTATTACTAACTTTCCTCATTTAAAAATACATAGAATAAGAATAGAACCTAAACTAGAGGGTTTCTATGAAGATAAATGAGATAATGCATATACAGTGATAGGTGAGTATCTGACACATAGAAAGAATTTTTCAAATATTTTCTTTTATTATTGTTGTTATTATGATCATTACTTATTCCTAAGAAAGAGATTATCACCAATTTATCTCTGTATCCCCCTACTGGGTTTGATGCCTTTGACGAAGTGGCTGCTACATAGATGTTTATTGAGTAAGTGAATCACTGGTGAAATAGCAGTCCCTACTATATAGTGAATATATATATATTAAATATATAATGACTATATACACACACATATATGCTACATGTTGATCCCATTTTCACTGAGTATCATGTCTTATCTCTCATTTAAAAGATAACATCACATACAAAGACACACACACAATTAAACATTTAAAGGTAAAGGTGAAGTCACAAAAGTATTTCAACTTTATTTTCATAAATTAATTTTGAAGCAGGAAAAGCCTTTCTATATATCATCCCAAAAAAGTGATTTCAGACAGAAAATCCTAAAAAAGTAAAGAGCTCCTACAAATCAATATATGGGTATCAAAAATCCACAGAAAAATGTGGAAAATCTTATGACTGGGAAGGAGCAGGGAACAGCATCATTTCTCCCCTTATATCCCTTTTATCTTTTGATTTTTAATTGATTTGAATTTATTTCAACCATTTATGCAAATGTTTAAGTTTACTGAAATGCAACTCAATCCAGTATTCTTGCCATGGAGGGTAGCAAAGAGTCGGACACAACTGAGTGACTTTCACTTCACTTCACTTAAGACTTCTGTAAAATGTGAGCTCAACTTCAAAATTAGGGTATAAAATAATAGGGACATATGTGAGGTGATGTATATGTTAATAACTCAGTGAGGGGAATCCTTTCACAACATATATCAAATCACATTGTACACTTTATCTTACCATCTTATTTGTCAAATATGCTTTTATTTAAAATTTAATAAATAATATAAAAATGTCAAAGTCTAACTTACACATCAAAAAATACAGAAGACATCACTTCCTCAGTGGAATTATTCAGTATTGACATGTATATTTTAGATATAGTTGATGGAGGTATCATTTGTAAACAAACTTCCTGGAAACTAATTTAGTGTATATGTGAAGAGCCTTTTAAAAGTACATACTATTTAACCCAGTAGTTCCACTTCTAGGAATCCATCTTAAAAAATAATAAAAAGATCATCCAAAGATTTATATAACAAGATTTTCAAATTGTGTGATTATGGTGGTGGTGGTTTAGTGGATAAGTCGTGTCTGGCTCTTGCAGCCCTGTGGACTGTAGCCCACCAGGCTCCTCTGTCCATGGGATTTTCCAGGCAAGAATACTAGAGTGGGTTGCCGTTTCCTTCTCCAGGGGATCTTCTCCACCCAGGGGAAGATCCTGCACAATGCATGGGGTCTCCTGCATTGCAGGTGGATTCTTTACCCACTGAGTTACCAGAGACTGGCAAAATTGTACATGGCCTAAAGAGTCAACAACAGTGAATTGTGCATAAAATATGATACATTCATATAATGGAATATATCTAGTTTTTAGTGGCATAGTTTAATGTTATGAGAGGGTTTCACCATATGGTCTTAAGGGGAAAAAAAGAAAAAAAATTGTTTATGTAATTTAATTTAACTTTTAATATTGATACATATGCATAGAAAATACTAGAAGTAAATATATCAAAATGTTAACAGGTATTATCTTTTAATAGTAGGACTTTGGTTTTTTTTCTCCTTTGTACCTTTCTGAACTTAACTGTTATAAAATGAGTATATGTCACTCATATCATTGGGAGAGGGGTGAGCTATAAGGCTGCCGGGATTATTTTAAGCAGGAGCGGGCGCGGCACTTGCCTTCTTCCTTCCATAGTAGAGCAGCTTAGTGAATTTCTCCACGATCTGCGCAGGCGTCTCCACGCTGGGAGGAATCTCCCCGGTGAGCAGGTCCCGGGTCCCGGAGCTCAGCACCGGCCAGTCCTCGTCCGTCAGGCTGATGAGGTTGGCCACAGGCGGCTGCCTCTTGTACTTCTCCAGCTTCTTACAGTCCTGCATCAGCAGCTCGGCGATGTCAGACCCCACCATGGACTGCAAGGCAAAAAGAATCCCATTCCCTGAGCTAGAATCCCATTTGTCGCCATGCTGGTACCCCAGGCTGTAGAAGGGGGGCACCGGAGCACCCGCCTTCATCAGGAGGAGACCCACATGTAAACACAAGACAGTCCTTTTTGCATTGTGGTAGTTGAAACCCCACCTTCATTCTCATGGCTATTTTCTGCCTGTCAGGAGCCACAAAGATGACCAGCAATATGCACACTCTCATAGGTGTATTATCTGCTCGGTGCAGTAACCCAAGAACTGAGCAATAACCAGAGGCTAGTGGAGAAGGGCAGGGAAAAGTTAGCGTTTGCACTGTGGCATTGACCTCAGCAGTTTTTCTTGAGGCCATTTGTTGCTTCTTTAATGTTACCTTTTATAATTATGCCCCAAGACGAATCTTCTGTCTCCCAGGAAAATTTAAATTTCAGTCCAGCCTGCACCTGCCCATCCTCCGGCCGCGGTGATACTGACCCCGTTCTGCCGACAAAGGAGAACCAACAGCTGCCAGAGTAGGGCCGAGTCTCTGCCCCCCGGTGTCTCAGATTTGCGGCTCTGTGCTGCCTTCTGCTGGCAAAACGTCATGATGTCCACCTTGTGCACGTCTTCCCTAGGGAGAGATTTCAAGGAGCAAAGAGTGATGGACAGACTCCGCCCCCGGGCAGGACCACAAGCCCCTCCTACAGCGCGAGGGCGCTGCCTGGGCTGGGGCTGAGATAGTAACAGAAACAGGACCTCCTAGGATGGGAAGAGTGCGTCTGAAGTTACAGGACAGTTGTTTCCGTATAGAACAGGAAGGGACCGCAGAGATTCTCTCATCCACTGTCTCCATTTTACAAAGGAAGAAACAGGCCCAGAGACCTGAAATGACTGTTTGGGTGGCAGGTTAGAGCACAGACTTTGAGATCAGACAACCCTGGATTTAAATCTAGCCTAAACTTCTCAGCCTACACAAGTTGCTGGTCTCCTCTGAGCCTCTGCTCTTTCTGATAAAACAGGGGTGATGAAAATGTCTACCTCCAGGGCCTCCCTGGCGGTACAATGGATAAGAATCTACCTGCCCATACAAGGGAGACAAGTTCAATCCCTGGACTGGTAAGATTCCACATGCTGTGGAGCAACTAACCCATGTGCCATAACTACAGGCCTTGGCGCTGCAACCGCGGAGCCTGTGAGCCACAACTACTGAAGCCTGCAGGCCTAGAGCCTGTGCTCCACCAGGAGAAGCCACCACAGGGAGAAGCCAGTCCACTGCAACAGAAGTACCCCCACTCCCCACGAGAGAAAGCCCGCGTGGAGCAGCGAAGACCTAGTGCAGCTGAAACTAATAAACAAAGTAAAATTTCTTATAAGTCTACCTCCAACTCGATTTCTTAAAAAGCTGGAAATAGAACTGCCATATGACCCAGCAATCCCACTTCTGGGCATACACACCAAGGAAACCAGATCTGAAAGAGACACGTGCACCCCAATGTTCATCGCAGCACTGTTTATAATAGCCAGGACATGGAAGCAATCTAGATGCCCATCAGCAGACGAATGGATGAGGAAGCTGTGGTACATATACACCATGGAATATTACTCAGCCATTAAAAAGAATTTCTTTGAATCAGTTCTAATGAGATGGATGAAACTGGAGCCCATTATACAGAGCGAAGTAAGCCAGAAAGATAAAGACCATTACAGTATACTAACACATATATATGGAATTTAGAAAGATGGTAACGATAACCCTATATGCAAAACAGAAAAAGAGACTCCGATGTATAGAACAGACTTGTGGACTCTGGGAGAAGGCGAGGGTGGGATGTTTCAAGAGAACAGCATCGAAACACGTATATTATCTAGGGTGAAACAGATCACCAGCCCAGGTAGGGTGCATGAGACAAGTGCTCGGGCCTGGTGCACTGGGAAGACCCAGAGGGATCGGGTGGAGAGGGAGGTGGGAGGGGGGACCGGGATGGGGAATACATGTAAATCCATGGCTAATTCATTTCAATGTATGACAAAAACCACTGCAATGATGTAAAGTAATTAGCCTCCAACTAATAAAAATAAATGAAAAAATAAAAATAAAAAAAAATTAAAAAAAAAAAAAAGTCTACCTCCAACTCAATGTCTTGTAATAACCTACAGTGGAAAAGAATCTAAAAAGGAACAGATTTATATATAACTGAATCACTTTGCTGTATATGTGAAACTAACACAGCATTGGAAATCAACTATACTTCTATTAAAACACTGTGTTAAAGCCTACCACATACAAAAAGGAATTAGCCAGCTGTGTAGCATATATAAAGTGCTCAATAGACAGGAATTAGACATTATTTGCTTGAGATTATTTAATGAAGTCAATCAAATGGGGATCAGTACCCTAGGTGTCCAAAACACCCAACTCGGTACTCTAGGCCACATCGCTACACCCGTGTGTAAAAAATGGAGACAACAATTCATTTTTACTTGAAGGAACTGTCAAAATACCCTGGGGATTTTCTTGGAGGGGGAAGCTTCAGGATAAGGACACATCTGTATAGTTGTGATGATATTTAAAGGGCTTCAGAATGCATTATCTCACCTCTGACACCAGCGTGAACTCTCTCCACAGCAAAGAACATCCTCAATATTTATCAGAAACATGACTAGGAACGTAAAAGCAGTTCTAGCTCAATCCTGCAGAGGGCAGACTTGCACACTGTCTAGTAACTCATGCTGACCGGGTTATACATCTCTCTAGAAAAATGTTTTCCTTGTGAGCAACTTGCCTCTGATTTCCCATAGGAAATCATATTATTATTAGGTACCCAGAATATTAAAACCTCCTACCACATAGCCTTTGTAAAATAGAACTGATTTCAGATTTTTAAACCTTTTTCTGTCTTTCAGCACTCAAATTGCTTGTCAAAATGGCTCAGGCCACATCTGTCTCCAACTTGTAGCACAAAGATTCCATTCCAATGGGGACAGATATTTTCTTTCAAAGGAAGCCAAGCCCAAATGAAAGAAGCCAAGCCCAAATCCCCAAAATGCTGATTTGGGCAGGAAGATTTTATAGGTTTCAAAAGCCCTTATTTGGCAACTTTTATGGTGATTTACCTGATCAGCGGTCCTGAGAAAGTCCTCATCTCTCCCTGTTCCTCAGAATCATTAAGAATAACCTGGAACAAAAAACTCAGGTTTGGTCTTCAAGACTATGTCCCCCTAGTGCCCCATTCCTCGGTTGAGTCCAGTATCAGAACCCAGAGCTGTGGTCCTAGGATGAGGCTTAATGCCTCATGGAGAAAGCAGAAAGACAAAAAAGAGCTCTCTAGTTGCTGGATATGAGCCAACAGCATCACAGGTAAAACATCAGTCTAGCATTACTTCTTTCAGAGGAGAGCCCACACATTCCTTCACACACACACACACACACACACACACACACACCCCAATCCACAGGGTACATGGCTCAGGCCCCTCCAAGAGATTCATGGAGATGCCAGGGCTCAGGCAAAGGGGAGCCGGGAGTAACATGCTGACATTCAAGGGACACAGAATCTTGTTTACCTCCATGCTGTGCAGTTCAACAAGGGCTGTCTGTCCATCACTGGGAGAGCTGGGACTCACACACACCAGCTGACCTCCTGGCCCAAAACTCACAGGCATGTGAGGGACATAGAACTTCATGGGTTCCCTGGGACCAGCTGCTGAGACGTCCTCTGACCAACCAATACAGGTGGACACTGTTAGCATTACTACCACTGCTTTGTTTTATGTAAGAAATATTCCACAGACATATTTCTTTCCAAATTTCACCTGGGACCAAGATAAGATTCTGGGTGGGTTACATAATTAGAAGAAATACATGCTCTAAGTCAGATTTAGGCCTTTAATAATATGTCAGACTATAATGCCAAATCCAACAACATATTACAAGGATTATACACCATGATCAAGTGGGATTTATCCCAGGGATGCAAGGATTCTTCAGTATATGCAAATCAATCAATGTGATGTACCATATTAACAAATTAAAGAATAAAAACCATACAATCATCTCAATAGATAGAGGAAAAACTTTTGACAAAATTCAACACCCATTTATGATAAAAAAAAAATTCTCCAGTAAGTGGGCATAGAGGGAACCTACTTCAACATAATAAAGGCCATACATGACAAACCCACAGCAAACATCATTCTCAATGATGAAAAACTGAAAGCATTTCCTCTAAGATCAGGAACAACACTAGGATGCTTGTGCTCATCATTATCATTCAACATAATTTTAGAAATCCTAGTCATGGCAATAAGAGAAGAAAAAGAAATAAAAGGAATCCAAATTGGAAAAGAAGTAAAAATATCACTGTTTGAAAATGACATGATACTAAACATAGACAACCTTAAAGAGGCCACCAGAAAACTACTGGTACTAATCAATGAATTTGGTAAAGTTTCAGTATACAAAATTAATGCACAGAAATCTCTTGCATTCCTGTACAATAACAACGGAAGATCAGAAAGAGAAATTAAGGAAGCAATTCTATTTACCATTGCAACCAAAAGAATAAATACCTAGGAATAAACCTTCCTAAAGAGGTAAAAAAAACCTGTACTCAGAAAACTATAAGATACTGATGAAAGATATCAAAGACAACACAAAGAGATGGAGAGATATACCATGTTCTTGGGCTAGAAGAATTAATACTGTAAAAATGACTGTACTACCCAAAGCAATCTACAGATTCAATGCAATCCCTATCAAATAACCAATGGAATTTTTTCACAGAATTAGAACAGAAGATTTTATAATTTGTGTGGAAGCACAAAAGACCCTGAATAGCCAAAACAGTCTTGAGAAAGAAAAGCAGAGCTGGAAGAATCAGGCTTCCTAACTTTAGACTATACTACAAAGCTACAGTAATAAGACAGTATGGTACTGGCATAAAAATAGAAATATAGATCAATGGAACAGGCTAGAAAGCCCAGCAATAAACCCACACGCCTACGGTTACCTAATATTTGATAATGGAGAAAAGATAATCTCTTCAATAGTGATGCTGGGAAAACTGAACAACCCATGTAAAAGAATGAAATTAAAACACTCCATAACACTATATACACAAAAACAAACATAAAATGGGTTAAAGGCCTAAATGTAAGGCCAAAATATAAAACTCTTAGGTGAAAACAGGCAGAACACTCTGACAAATCGCAGCAAGAGCTTCTTTTGACCCATCTCCTAGAGTAATGAAAATAAAAACAAAAGTAAACAAGTGGGACCTAATTAAACTTAAGAGTTTTTGCACAGCAAAGGAAACTGTAAACAAAGCCAAAAAAAATAACACTTAGAATAGGAGAAAATATTTGCAAACGAAGCAACACACAAGGGACTAATCTCCAAAATATATAAACAGCTCATGTAGCTCAATATCAAAATAACAAACAATCCAATCAAAAAATGAACAAAAGACCTAAATAGACATTTCTCCAAAGAAAACAGATGGCCAAGAGGCACATGAAAAGATGTTCAACATCACTAATTACTAGAGAAATGCAAATCAAAACTATAGTGAGATATCACCCACACTGGTCTGAATGGCCATCATCAAAAAAGCTACAAACAAAAAATGCTGGGGACAGTGTAGAGAAAAGGGAACACTCTTATAATGTTTGTAGGAAAGTGGATTGGTTCGGTCACTATGGAGAACAGTGTGGAGGTTCCTTAAAAAACTAAAAACAGAACTACCATATGACTGAGCAAGCCCACTCATGGGCATATACCCGGAGAAAACCATAATTCCAAAAGATACATGCACCCTGATGTTTATTGCAGCACTATTTATAATAGCCCAGACATGGAAGCAACCTAAATGTTCATTGACAGAGAAATGGATAAAGAAGACATGGCACATATACACAATGGAATATTACTCAGCCATAAAAAGAACAAAATTGTGCCATTTGAAGAGATGTGGATGGACCTAGAGACTTTCTTGCTGAGTGAAGCAAGTCAGAAAGAGAAAAACAAACATTATATATTAAGGCATATATGTAGAATCTAGAAAAATGGTACAGATGAACCTATTTGCAAAGAAGAGAGACACAGACAGTATGGACATCAAGGGGGGGAAGGGAGCATGGGATAAATTGATGGATTGGGATTTACATATATACACTATCAGGTATAAAATAGAAAACTAAGAGAACCTAATGTATAGCACAGGAAACTCAACTCAATGCTCTATGGTGACCTAAATGGGAAGGAAATCCAAAAAAGAGGGGATATGTGTGTATATATGGCTGATTCACTTTTCTGTACAGCAGAAAATAGCAACATTGTAAATCAACTATACTCCAATAAAAAATTAATTTTAAAAAAGAAGAATATAATGCAAGGAATTGACGGTTTGGTCCAAACGATAATGTACCAGGCTTACACTCTCAAGAGGGTGACAGGTTGGGGACTGGCTCTCATAGCCCCAATACTCAGGGCAAATCTCCTACATCCAGACCTTTGTGACCTGCCTTCACTTTCCCAAACTGACTCTGGTCTTTACTTTCTTCCCTTGTTACCTACAATACCTCTGAGGGCCTCCTCTCCCAACCTGATGATGGCCAAGGGCAGTGTTCCTTTCCAAGAATCAGCTATGATGCATTCTTCAGGACAAAAGAAAAGACAGGGAATGGAGCCAAAGCTGGCCACTCTGTCCAGGGGACCTACACATGCAAATGAGTCAGACAAAGGCTCTACTCTTGGAAATACCAGGTAAAGTTGACCTTCCAAGAGATGTGCCAGCCAGCCCTCTTCTCATCAGACTCAGCCAACTCCTTTAATCATGTCAGTACCCACCAGCCTGAACTGGGCTCCAGACTGCTGAAGTCATGGGGTCTTGGAGATCGGAAGCATCTGCCATGTACTGACTGAGCTCGTAGCTGCTGGAGGTGAGACCAGACTCATGCTGCCAGAGAAGGTTGGACTCCTCCATCAGTGATGGCTGGAAGTTAAAAACAAGAACACATGGGAAGAATCAGAGACAGTTTCAGAGAGACAGTCCTCCAGTGTTTCTTCAAAGCAACAAAATTCAAACTTTCAAATAAATCTAATGAATGTGGACATATTGAAAGGAAAAGAAGGGATCATTCAACTGACAGTTCTCACTAAGGGATTCATTTTGGCCCCATGGGTAAAGAGCAGGTCCTGGGGTCAGGGGGTTTTAATTCAAATCCCAGCTTTGTTAATACCAGGCTCTGTGACCTGGAACAAGTGACATAGACTTTCTAAGCTCAGTACCTTCATTTGTAATGTAGAGAATCATACCTATCCTATATAGTTCAAGTACTTACCGCTTGCATTCATTCACCAACTGTTTAATGAGCACTTACTATGCTCCAGGTGTAATGCTTTCCCTTAGGATACAGGTATAAAAGAACTTCCCTGGTGGTTCAGGGGCTAAGATTCCGTGCTCCCAATACAAGGGGCCCAGGTTCGATCCCTGGTCAGGGAACTAGATCCCCCATAATGCAACTAAAAATTTGCACACCACAACTAAAAAATTCCACATGCCGCAACTAAAAAAAATCCTGCATGTTGCAATGAAGATGCATGCCGCAACTAAGACCCAGTACAGCCAAATAAATAAATATTTTTTTAAAAAGAAATTCACAGAACTTATATTCTGGGAGGATTGTAAAACAGATGCAAACAATGGATACAAAAGCTCTTTGTCCACTCTGTAAAGTACTGTACTCATATATGACTGCTGTTATTGTGTTGTTGTTACTGTTAGTCCTAATAGGTGCCCAGCCCTGTAAAGTATTAGGTATACAGAAGAAACTGTTCCCCCAAATCATACAAATCTAATCAGGGATAGAAGATTAATACAAGACTGTCAAAAATTAAGACCTTGTCTCTTGTAACTTTTCCGTAAGTCTAAAGTTATTCCAAAATTGAAAGTTTAAAAAATTCAGGAGCTCCATTTCATAGCCCAGCTGGTACACACAGTAAGATCTCAGAAGACAGAAATGGAAGAGTCAAGAAAGGTTTCACATTCTGCTTTTCATACCCAAATTAAAAGATGCTAGCAACTTCCCACTTCCTGAGTAAACCAAATTGCTAGTCCACTGGGGTACCAGTAACATTTCTTTTCTTTCCCACCTTGGAGTGACTTGGGTGATATTTTCTGACAGCTAACTTGGCAAAAGAAAAAAGAAAAATGCAAAAGGGCTCGATAAGGTCCCCAGACCCAGAAGATTGGAACAGGAAACAGGGAAAGGAGGACATGGGCATGGAGGCTCTGCCAAGAGGGGAGGAATGGCACCCTTTAGACTACTGGCACCAGGGACCCCCACCCCCAGGGCCCTGCCCTGCCACTGCTGATGATGTCAGCGGAGATGCCCTGTCACAGACTACCAGCCCTGTGTCACTTCAGGTTACCTTGTTTTTCTCGGCCCCAGTCAGCGGACTTTCCATGAACAGGTCCCCGGGCCTCTCCTGTCCAGAGTTAGAAGCAGGACTGTCTTTATAAGGATTCCGACTCTTAGATCTGCAGCAAAATGACAGGAGCATGTGAGAGGGGGTCCAGCGCAGGCCAGCAAGGCTGAGCTGCTCTGTACTGGAGGCTGCTCTGCCGCAAAGTGTGGGCAGGTGTCGGGTTGACCCACGTGCCACAGGGAAAAGCCTTGTCCTCCCTTGTGCTGCCACAGTCTATTAAACCAGAAAAACAGGAACTCCCGGGGTTCATAGTACAGTTAGTTACTAGAAGTGGCCCCAAACTCTGCAGAGAAGGCTGGGTCTCTGTGGCCTGGCATCCCAGAATGACTTAAATCAGAGCAGATGGGTTGGTGAGTTTCAGGCAGGGGAAAGGCCTCAGGGTACCAGACAGGTACATGTACAAAATGCTCTTCCCTGCTCTTCTCACCCGGGGGAGAGACCATTCTTAGGGCACAGGACTGGGCAGAGGAGAAGCACCCCATCCCCAGGCAGGATGCAAGCATGAGAACTTCTACAAGGCCACATCTGTCCCAAGGCCAACACAGAATTAAGGCCCTCCTTCAAGATGGACCTCAAGTAACCTCACAGGTTTGGGGACTTAGGCAGGTCTGGGGAACTGCTGCTCAGAATTAAGAATCCCTCCTTCCAGGGTCCATGAGAACAGCTGGCTCGGGCCAGCCTGAGCTCCATCCCTGTGGCCAGAACAAAAGCAGACAGGCTTCTGAAGATGAGGACCAGTACCAGATGACATCAGGTTTGCCAAACATAGTCTGAATTTGGCTGAATCATGTTGAACCAGCCTCTCCTTTCACACTTACTGGAACTGGGTCTCCCTATTTGTTCCAAATGGACTATTCTGGTTTTCAGGTTGATGATCATTGAGGTACTTTTGATCTCGATGATCTTCCTGCCAGATATAAGGACTCCCTTGCCTTGGCACTGCACCCTCAGAGAAAACAAAACAAAGACAGGTCACTTCCTATTCCTAAAAGTTTGGCGATACTAGCAAGTTGTAGTATTACAACTGGGTTATTGGAGCATGGCAGGTATAAAGACATACAGTCATCCTTCTGTATGCTTTAGGGGATTGGTTTCAGGACCTTGGAAAGTTAAATTCCCTTATATATTAATAAAATGGTGTAATATTTGCATATAATCTATGCATGTCCTCCATAAACTTCAAATCATCTCTATATGACTTCTAATACTAATAATACCATATGCATGCATGCATGCAAAGTTGCTTCAGTTGTGTCCGACTCTGTGTGACCCCATGGACAGCAGCCCACCAGGCTCCTCCGTCCAGGGGATTCTCCAGGCCAGAATTCTGGAGTGGGTTGCCATATAAACACTATGCAAATAGTTGTAAATACAACATAGGTGCTATGTAAATAGTTGCCAACAAGCAACAAATTCAAGTTTTAAGTTTTGGAATAATCTTTTTTTCAAAAATTTTCGATCATCAGTTGGAGGCAGACCTGCAGATTCAGAGGGCTGACTGTATTTGCCAAATTGAATAAGGTTGGTACGTGAAAGCCAAGAGTGTAAGTCTGTAAGATGAACCTCAGTCTTCTCTGAACCAATCAGCATGACTGTATAGGACGGTGCAATCGTGGGGATCCTCTGTGTGTGTGTGTGTGTGTGTGTGTGTGTGTGTGTGTGTTTGTGTTTTCAGTACTGAAACAGATTTTTCTCTTTGCTAGCAGGTCAGAAGCTGCCATTAACACATATCTAAATCCTTACTATTGATACAGGGTATAAATTCCTTTTTGCACAAATCTGCCACTCTGCGATGGTTAGACTCACTACAGCCCAGCCACACACTTGATGACTTCACTGTCAAGAACTGACTTCACTGCTACTTGGTCAGGGAGAGACTATAATCTTGATCATAATGAGGAGTAGAAAAAAAAAAAGGATGAAGTACAAACTATCGGTAACACTAATAACATAATAACAGTTTCAGTACCATCAACTATGCCTACATGTACAAAGAAAAATGACTCTTTTCTATCTCTTCTCAAGACATCTAGCAGCAGTATGTTTGCTGTGGCCTCATCTGACCAAGAAAGAAGCAGGCGGGGATGAGAGGGAGTGGAGGTGGAGGCCTAGGATGAGGCTCCGAGCATGGCCCTTTTGGCCTCTGCCCTGTCATATCAGTGGTACCATCCCAAAGGCTTCTTGGAGATTATTCCATACCTCTTTCTTCCTGAAGCTGCTGTGGGTGTCCATGGTAGTAATAACTTCCATAAGCATATTCTTCCCTTAGGGCTGGAGAGTAATAGTTCTGATAGAGATCCTCAATGCCCCACCTAAAGAATCACAAAGAAGGCCACTCCTTGAAGGATGAGCATAGCAAAGAGAAAAACCAATGGAGAGCAACTTTCCCAGTGGTCCAGTGGCTAAGACTCCATGATCCCAATGCAGGGAACCTGGGATGATCCAGGTCAGTGAACTAGATCCCACATGCTCCAACTAAAGATTACACATACCGCAACAAAGATCAAATATCCTAACTGCCACAACTAAGACCTGGCACAGCCAAATAAATAAATAATTTTTTTTTAAAGCAAAACAATGAAGGACTTGACAAACAAAACAACTTCAGAGGACAAAACTGTGACACCCATCTAGAATCTTCTCCAAAGCTATGGTTCATCCTACAACCAAAAATCTAGTATTGGAGCAGGAATAGGATCATTGTGTCAGAACATGGCTGCAATTTTTACAGTAAAACCACAGCCAAGTGTCTCTTCTCCTTCCTCATGATCCCTCTTACTCCTCAAATACACACATCCAACAAAACAAAATATTATCTAAGAAAACCCTGACCTGATATCACCTTAGGAAACCCCTTCCCAAGATAATTGTGTAAAGTACACAGTCAGTCAGTCAGTTCCGTCGCTCAGTCGTGTCCAACTCTTTGCGACTCCATGAATCGCAGTACGCCAGGCCTCCCTGTCCATCACAAACTCCCGGAGTTTACTCAAGCCCATGCCCATCAAGTCGCTGATGCCATCCAGCTATCTCATCCTCTGTCGCCCCCTTCTCCTCCTGCCCCCAATCCCTCCAAGCATCAGGGTCTTTTCCAATGAGTCCACTCTTCCCATCAGGTGGCCAAAGTACTGGAGTTTCAGCTTGAGCATCAGTCCTTCCAATGAACACCCAGGACTGATCTCCTTTAGGATGGACTGGTTGGATCTCCTTGCAGTCCAAGGGACTCTCAAGAGTCTTCTCCAACACCACAGTTCAAAAGCATCAATTTTTTGGTGCTCAGCTTTCCTTACAGTCCAACTCTCACATCCATACATGACCACTAGAAAAACCATAGCCTTGACTAGATGGACCTTTGTTGGCAAAGTAATGTCTCTGCTTTTTAATATGCTATCTAGGTTGGTCATAACTTTCCTTCCAAGGAGTAAGTGTCTTTTAATTTCATGGCTGCAATCACCATCTGCAGTGATTTTAGAGCCCCAAAAAATAAAGTCTGACACTGTTTCCACTGTATCCCCATCTATTTCCCATGAGGTGATGGGACCAGATGCCATGATCTTAGTTTTCTGAATGTTGAGCTTTAAGCCAACTTTTTCACTCTCTTTCGCTTTCATCAAGAGGCTCTTTAGTTCTTCTTCACTGTCTGCCATAAGGGTGGTGTCATCTGCATATCTGAGGTTATTGATATTTCTCCCGGCAATCTTGATTCCAGCTTGTGCTTCCTCCAGCCCAGTGTTTCTCATGATGTACTCTGCATATAAATTAAATAAGCAGGGTGACAATATACAGCTTTGACGTACTCCTTTTCCTATTTGGAACCAGTCTGTTGTTCCATGTCCAGTTCTAACTGTTGCTTGCTGACCTGCATACAGGTTTCTCAAGAGGCAGGTCAGGTGGTCTGCTTTTCCCACCACTGTAATTCCCATGCATATTATAGATGGAAATGAGATGGAAAAGTCAAATTGGACCATCTTAAATCTGCTTGCTGTTATTGCCTCTACCCTTAACAGACCTTCCTTCAAGAATTCAACACTATTTTTATCAATTAATAATTCTTTACTATTTCATAGGGACAGAATTCTTTATAATAACTGTCATAATTTCAACCTTAAACCTAGAGGCAGGAAAATATCATCTCACCTGAAAGAGCTAAAGTAAAAAATAGATGGCTTGCAACATTCCATAAAATATGAAGGCCAGGAGTAAAAACTCCAGATTCTCCCAGAATCACCTCACAGAGACCTTTTCATTCTGAACTGGGAGACTACAAGCTTCTATCCACTCTCTGATTTTTTTAAGTTCCCATTCATTCACTCAATGTATATATTTTCTGTGTAGGCATCATATTGTAGGTGCTGTTCTAGGAACTAGGACTCTTATGTTGCTGGTGGGTTCGGTGCTAACCCTGGGTTAGAGTCATCAAAGAGGATAAGGAACTTTTTATAGACATCCATAGGAAAAGCTTTTCCATAGTCTACAAATCCGGCCTTTTGTGATCCCAGAGTAAGAGGGTCTCATCTGCCATCTTGAATTTCACCATTCTTTCTACTCTCTACTCTGCCCCCAACACCCAATCGCATTGTGATGGCTTCTTAAGAAGCTCCCCTAGGGACAAATAAAGGGAAATAAACTATATTTTCAGTCACCAAAATCCAGCCTGGAAGAGGAAAGGGTTTAGCTAAGTCAGTGTAGTAGGAGGAGGAAAAGGAAGAAGAGAAATAAAAGGAAAAGGAAGACGGAAAAGAACGATCTGTTCATAAGCATTTGGGAGAGCTGGGTCAAGTCCAAGCTCTAAACTCATACCTTGAATACAATTGACTGGGATAACTGCCTTTGTAATAGGCAACCCCAGACACAGGTGGATGCCATTCCCCAGGTCTGGCTGCATAATGAGGCTCCTGGTGGTCTGCCCTGGGGTCCTGCTGTGGCTGGGGGCTCCTGCCCAAGTCTTGCCTTTGATGGACCCTCTCTCCATCGTGCCAAGAGTGAGGAATAGGCTGATAGCATCTATCTCTCCGAAGCCCTCGGTCTGGATCCTTTGATGGTGCTGGGGGCCTCCCTGATGGCTGAGGCAGCCAATGGGGAATCCAAGGTTCCATCCTAGATCTTCTGAATTTCTCTAGTGTTTTGAGTCAGCTGTGTAGTTATTTATCTTCCTGCCAGACAAAACAAAAACAAAACAAATTATCATTTTAGGCCTATATCCAAGCATGATGCTTAATTAGGTTTAGTGAAAGAAGCACCAATGGTCCTCAAAACTCTTCTATCTAAAACAAACCACACAGGCATTGAGACAGAGATGTCTGAAAAAATCGCAAGCAGATACTTGAAATAAATAACAGGCTAGACAATTATACTGAGCTTGTTATAAAAATTTAGAAGTATATTTGGAGCAACAATAGATATGGGAGGCACGGGAGAGAGAACAATAATAGATGAAGCTCCAAAACACAATCAAAGTACTCCGATTAAAGACATGTGTGCTCACCTATTCCACCAACAAATAGTTATTCAGGAGGCACTATGTTGCCGTAGAAATCAAGTGGGCTTTGGACAGAGCTAGACCCAGTTCAGATCCTAACTCTGAACTTCCCTGGTGGTAAAGTGGATAAGAATCTGCCTGCCAGTGCTGGAAACAAAAGAGACACGGGTTCAACCCCTGGGTCGGGAAGATCCCCTGGAGAAGGGCATGGCAACCCATGCCAGTATTCTCGCCTGACACAACTGAAGTTACTTAGCACACCAGGGAGATCTCACATGCGGAGGAGTAGCTAAAGCCTATGAGCCACAACTACTGAGCCCTTACACTCTGGGGCCCGAGAGCCACGACCAATGAGCCCCTGTGTCACAACGACTGAAGCCCACGTACACTAGAGCCCACATGTTGGAACTACTGAAGCCTGTACACCTCCAGCCTGTGCTCCACAAGGGAAGCCACCGCAATGAGAAGCCCATGGATGGTAACTAGAGAGTAGGCCCCACTCTCCAAAACTAGAGAAAGCCGGCATGCAGCCACAAAGACCCAGCACAACCAAAAAAAATTAATAAATACATTATTTTCTAATTTAAAAAAAAAGAAATCCTGACTTTGCCCCTTATGAGCGAGTTAAATTTTTCCAGCCTTAATGTCCTTACCCATAAAATGAGGACTATAATAATTAGCTGACTGGGTCACTGTCAGAGTTAGAGATACTCATGTAAAGTGCTGAACACTATGGCTAGTATACATCAGCGGTTCAATAAATAACAGTGTTATCAGAGATAGAGATTAGCATATTGTGAGTAGCTGAAAAGATTTCCTAAATAAAAAGAAGCTTAGGGACTTCCCTGGTGGTCCAGTGGTAAAGAATTCTTCTGCCAATGCCGGGGACAGAGGCTTGATTGCTGGTCCAGAAAGAACCCACATGCCTCAGGGCAACTAAGCCCATGTGCCACAACTACTGAAGCCTGCTTGTTCTGGAACCCACACCTGCAACAAAGATCCCACATGCCACAGCTAAGACCCAACATGGCCAAATAAATAGATGTTTAAAAAGAAGAAGAAGAAGCTTAAAGTGACTTCAAGAGACATCTTTTCTAAATCCTTAAAGTCTTAGAGAACTGTGCTCTATAACTTGCCCATGCCTGCCCCTCCTCCAGGGGAGGCGAGGAGACCCAGGGTTTGGGATTGCTTCAGTGACAAACTAGAGAGCCATGTCTCAGTAATTTTCCTGCCTGGAGATTTTAAAACCTGGAAGTCACCCCAGGATCAAACTGGTTTTTCCCATTTATTCTTCGAAATGGGACATAGCTCCCAAGGACGAGTTACCCTCCAAGCTTCTCTGCTTGTATCACAGAGCAGCACTGGCACCCAGCTGCCTCCAAACAAAAGTACCCATCACCCCTTAGAGCTGATCAGGAGTCTCCTGTTGTCTCGAGTATACACGGCTCCATCAGACCTCATGCTCCTTCTCCCTTGGGAACTACGTTAGGTTGAAAAGTTCTGATCGGATCCACAACCTGCTCCCACTGCTGAAACTCCCAGCCCAATATAAGAATGAATATCAGAAGCAAAGGTCAAAGGGCGTGTGTGTTGAAATCAAGATGTCACTCTGCTCCAATTCCGCGGAGCCAGGGTCCACAGCTATGAGCAGAAAGCTGTAAGCAGAATGCACCAGAAGAACAAGGCATAGAAGTGCCTTCTACCTCCAGAGCAATCACAGCTCAGGAAAACTTATACCTTTCTTCCCATGTCAGCTTACTTCCTTGAAAAAGTCAGGTGTAACAAGAGCCTTTTCCAGAAAACCCCAGCAAAGGCCAAATGCCCCAGACACAATGAAAGGCTACCTGAGTCTTTCCTGAAGGCCTATGGAATTTGAAAGAATTTGGACACAAGGAAGCTCAACAAGAAGAAAGCCTCAGGATTTCCCTGGTGGTCCAGTGGTTAAGACTTCACCTTCCAATGCAGGGGGTGTGGGTTCAATCCCTGGTCAGGTAGCTAAGAGCCCACATGCCTTATGGCCAAAAAACCAAAACATAAAATAGGAACAACACTGAAACAAATTTATAGATAAAAACTTTAAAAATGGTCCACATCAAAAAAAATTATCTATTAAAAAAAAGAAGACGAAAGCCTCTTCCACCTCATCCCCAGATATTTTCACTAGACAGCCCTTCTCTGACTGCAAATACACATTACCCACTCCCTTCGCCAAAGTCAACTACAGTTGATTACTGTTGCCAATATATCAATTCCAGCAAGTTAGGGCTCAGGTTACAATTAAGGACCCCAAGTGAAAAGCACTTAAGATACTTCAAATGAAGGCATTACATGCACAGGGACAAGTCATACTCACGCATCCACATAAACGACCTTCCCTGGCCCCACTAAGATCAATATTGCCTTTCCTAATTTGACCAGCACAGCAAGCACAGCCCAGACAAAGCCCACAAGGGCGCTAGCGTCCCCACACACCTGCTCTGACAGCCGCCACCTTCCCTTCGCGCGCTCCCGGAGTGTCTTCTCCCCTCCTAGACACTGTCAAAGTCCAGGTGCCACATCTACCAAGACCTACTTGGCTCTCAGATCTACAGCCTGTCAGCTACCTTTGCAACTGCCCAGCCTCCATGCGCTGATTCACGAGGGCAAAGTACAGGCCAGCTCCCTCCTTCGTCCAGACCCGGCTTGGCGTGTTTGCCCAGAACCCAGTCAGAGGCTGCTGCTTCCGTTTGCCTGGTAGTGGGCTGAGCCAGGTTCCTGCACTTGGGAAAGAATCCAAACTTGCACAGCAAAGAACAGAGCTCCCAAGGAGAGGAAGTGCAGAAAGCCCGGAGGCAGCCTGAGCTGCGGGGAAGAGCGCCACCTACGGGTTGTTAACTCCTTTCTGGGCCACGGGCGGTTCTATTGCTCAACCTCTGTTTCTTCTCTGAAAGAAGAATAACAAGGTGGGTTTTCCCAGGAGGCTTAGTGGTAAGGAATCCGCCTGCCAATGCACGAGACTCAGGAGACGTGGGCTTGAACCCTGGGTCGGGTAGATACCTTGAAAGAGGAATAGCAATACTTAACTTAGGAGGGTCATCATGAGGACCACAGGCTGACTTCAGAGATATTGTGAGTTAAATTCCAGACCACTGAAATAAAATGAGTCATATGAATCTGTTGGTTTCCCAGTGCAAATAAAAGTTCTGTTGTACATGATACTGTAGCCTACTGTGTGCAATAGCTGTATGTCTAAAAAAAAAAAAAAAAAATGGTAGGACTTCCCTGGTGATCCAGTGGTTGGTAATCCACCTGCCAATGCAGGGAACACAGGTTTGATCCCTGGTCTGGAAGATTCTACAGGCCATGGGATGACTAAGCCCATGTGCCACAACCACTGACCCTGCACTCTAGAGCCCATGCTCTGCAACAAGAGAAGCCACTGCAATGAGAAGCCTGCTCACTACAACTAGAGAAAGCCCATGTTCAGCAAAACATAAGAGCAAAACACAAAAAAAGACCCAGTGCAGCTAAACATAAACAAATAATTTTTTTTTAATGTACATACCTTAATTTTAAAATCCTTGGGGACTTCTCTTGTGGCTCAGTGGCTAAGAATCTACCTTCCAAGGCAGGGGACACGCGTTCGATCCCTAGTAGGGGAACTAAGCTTCCACATGCCACAGGGCAATTAAACCCACAACTACTGAGCCCTCAAGCCACAACTAGGTGCTGACACAGCCAACCACAAACAAATAAATGAATATAAAATACTCTATTGCTAAAAATTGCCCAAACAATTACAATAGTAATATCAAACATCACTGATCACAGATCAACATAACAAATATGATCACAATGGGAAAATCTGAACTACTGCCAGCATACAAAATGAAAAAGAATACAAAAGAAATATTGCCAGAATTACCAAAATGTGACGTGGAGACACAAAGTGAGCAAGTGCTATTGGGAAGGTGGTGCCGTGAGACTTGCTCAACAAAGCTTTGCCCCGACTTCAGGTTGTAAAACAACACAATAAACTGAAGCGATATAAAATGAGGTATGCCTTTAAATGTTGGTAATGATATATAATTATGTATGCTTTATAAATAAGTATTATCTTTCCATTTCAAAAGAAATGAGCTAATTCTACTGGCTGAGGTAGGCAGAGTACACCTTGTGTGTGTTAGTCGCTCACTCGTGTCTGACTCTTTGTGACCCCATGGACTGTAGCCCACCCAGCCCCACTGTCCGGGATTTCCCAAGCAAGAATACTGGAGTGGGTTGCCATTTCCTTCTCATGGGGTCTTCCCAACCCAGAGATCGAACCCAGGTCTCCTGCATTGCAGGCAAATTCTTTACCAGCTGAGCCACTGGAGCAGCCCAGAGTATTCACTGGTGGGTAGTAAATGCCTGGTTTAGATTTTTCTCATTCAAATTTCTCTCCATTGGATTCTGACTGTGCATTAGTTGTGTTATCTAGATGGAAGGCAATTTAAATGCTCAATACTGAACTGAAGGCACTGAGAAGTTTCTATTACAACAAAAACATATTTCTCTTGTTTGAAAAATACATTTCTTCAGGTGAACACAAAGAAGCTCATGTCTACTTTCGAATTAATATTTTAAAATTTAGCAAAT